GTCTGTGCTATCGACACATCAAGGTAACACTAATAAAAGACCCAGAAGGTGGGCCCAATAATATCCTGATCGAGTTTACCACCGAATTCACCAAACAATTTCTTGGAGAAAAGGAAGAGTATGTGAAACATCCAGCCGACCACCCATGAACGCAAGCTGCATTATATGCGATCAACACCACTGACAGAACGGTATCTATAACTAGGACCGAGTTCGTGATACCGGAGATCATCTTTGACCCATCTCTCATCCTCAGTCCCCAAGTTATCCTTTTAGGTCTCCTGTTTGCTGATGGTGCATTCGCTCGCCTCGATGGCGAGAGGATCCTTACTTCAGCATCGCAACTGCTTGATCTAGATATCCCAGAAGATACTTATCAGCTTGAATTCAACTTGGACCCAGGACTGAGCGACATCCCGATAATGCGGAGATCCGAGCGGACGCTGGATGGAATTAGAATATCTGATGTAGAGGCCCTCACCTACAATATTCTCTTACCCTGGATCAAATCTATAGGAAAAATATCGACAATACGCCAGATCGTCCGCCCTTATAGCTTGCGATACGGTACAGGGAAGGCCCTGGATAATAGCGGTAAGCGAGAGAAGAACCTTTCCTTCTGATTGTCATGTGCTAATCCTCATCACCCTGAAGGGCACATCAGTGATGCGGTTCGAAGTTTGATCTTCCAGCATTCCGATCCTAAAACATTTCTGAAATACTATCTCCACCGAAAGGTGGACAAGGATGTTCGTGCGGTCGTTCAAGGCCTAGATCCGCAGAAACAGATCATGCGTGCCGCATGTCGAATGATCCGCACCGTCAACCCACGCCGACCGCAGGAGCTCACCACCGAAGAGTCATCGTCGGTCAACCAACAACCTCACATCAAGGAATTGATCGAGAAACGCGACCATCTCAGTAAACGTCTCGGACGTCCCATTGCCAGACACAAAGGCACTGTCAAATATGAGCTTTACACCAGGGTCAGCCGTGAATTGGCAGGTGCACGTCAGCGGGCTCGAGACAAGCTCCTACTCAAGAAACAGGAACAGTTTGACTTTGAGGAGCCCCTGCGCGAGATCAAGCGACAGCTGTCGGGCATTAAGATCTCAAGGAAGGTCGAAAAATCTCTTGATGCCAATACGGCAGTTCCACCGGTACATCGACGACTCATATCGGCGCTGCTTAGCCTACCCCGCGAGACCCTGCAAGATGAAATGCTTCGGCGTACTGAGGCGATCGACGCTGTCGTAGACTACTCTCGCTTCGAGGAAGGGGAAACCTGCCGGCTGCCGCATGACAAGCGCCCTGGTCCCAAAGTATTCCAGGAGGTGAAGATCGAGATCCATGTCCCACCACCGCCACCGCCACCACCAAACGAGAGGGATATTGCCCTCAAGGCGGTGATGGAGGACCATCGACCGCTGTACTGCTTCATCTGTCTGGACAAATTCACTACACATGGGGGAGTGTCCAAACATATCAGAAGAAAGCACCTTCAACATATCAAACCTGATGACACGATATCCTGCAGGCGGTGTGATATTACCCTAGACCACAAAATGCACCTTCAGAGTCATGCGTTCTCCGTTCATCAGACCGTTACCTAAGCTTTACGCATGTAATCAACTATTAACATGTACCAAAACCGGCCTCTGGTCCTTGAGAGTTGGGTGCGATGTTCCTGAACTGCTGGACCATATTTCCTGTGTGACAGCGAGGGGAACAAGAGGAGGTATGAGCGTTTACTCTGCTCACTGGAAAGACCAATGGTTCCGGGAGAAGAATGTTGGAAAAAGAGAGTATGGATCATGGGAGCGAAGCTACAATATTAGTGGCGGTGATAAATATGAAATGGGTCAGATAAATTGAACATTTTGTCCCTTTTTCTTTCCTTGGTTCCTTCTGCAGTTGACAAGTGGAAGGTGGCATATTGACGGGGTAAATGAAAGCTAGTAATTATAAATTTATTTCACAGCTCTTCTCTTGTCTGCATCCAATCCAAATCTCCCAGACGGCTGACGGCCGTCTCAGCAGTAGAAAGGCAGAATGCTTTCGCATACCATGAATCGCGTTCGACATCGCTGGGGTCAACGTATGTTCTTCAAGCGGGTTCGTGAGCATCAAGGACTGGGCGTTCTCTCCTCGGGCAATAGTATCCGAAGTGGAATTTCCAAGTTCTGGAAATGTGTGTGCTGGCCAGGATAGATATAATGAAGAAGACAAAGTGAAGAAACCAAACATAGAAAACGAAAGCGCACTCACTCTCCCAGAGTGATTGACACAAGTCTCCGCGTGCCCTCGACACAGCCTGGCGCACCTGGCTGCACTTTGCATACTCCTGGTCTTTCTGTAATAGCTGCTGGTGCTGTCCCCATTGGGCAAAGACCAAAAGGCTCAATTTTGGGCTCAATATCAACCACGTTGGGAGCTTAGGGCCGGTCGTCCATGTACCAGCTTGCAAGGCCTATGAAATAGCTGCCGGGCCATCCGCACCTGAGAACGAACATTTGATTTGGAGAACCCTAGCGACGCTTGAGCCCTTCCAACAAATGAACAATCAGAGAAGAAATCTACATTCACGTGATAATCGTGCGCGTTGCGCATTATTATCGAATCCTTCTTCAAATGCAACGCAGTTTGTTCTCGAGGAAATCTCACAAATCCCACAACTCTCACAAACTCAAAACCAAAACTATGGAGATTCTTAACCTCTGACAGTGTGGCACGAAGAAAATGAAGAGAATGCAGACTTCAATTGTTACACAAATCCAAGCAGCTAACTAACTAGAAATAGAAAGGTTTCGTGAGATTTGGGCCATGTTAATCAATGCTGACATAATCCACGTGACCTCGTTCGACGACATTCGTTATTCCAGTAAGCTGCCAACAGTTCCAACCCTCCATGCTCCTGCAAATCGTCCAATGTCATCTTGGCATACACCTCGTAACCCCCCGGAACTCGCCCTATATTTCGTTGAAGGGATGGAATGGCGACAAACTGATCAGAGTCGCTAGGCAGGTTGGGACTAATTGGCTCATCGATGATGATTGGGTCTTCTGCGAGAGTGAGTGAGGGGTGAGAAATGTTTTTCACAGAGCAGGTACTGAGTCTTACCAGCAGAACCCAAGCACTTCCACAGCTTTCCTTGTGTGCCATATCCGCGTGTTTCTTGTAAATCTATCCGCCCTACCATCTGGTACATCTCATCCCCGTCTCGCTTATACACCAGCTTCAGAATCTTCACCTGAGAAAGGGGCAAGATAATGTATTCCTGCTTATCCAGCGTCTCCCCCAACGCATCGCCTTCCCAATGGCCGGACACCAGGGGGATAATCTGCTCTGATCGGTGGACTTGGACGTTGGGTTCCTCGCCTGTGTGTGGGTCAGCCTCGACGGAACCATCGGAGTAATTCAACGGCTCCTTCAATGTGTTGCCTTCGCGATTGTCTGAGGCCAGGGGAGGGGTTGGCTCTCGTCGATTGGGTGGGTCATCGGCAACGTCGCTCGGGCTTGGGTGAGCCTCCTCGATGGGGTCGTCGGAAAAATCCCACAGTTGGAGTGACGGTGGGGTAAAATCGACAGGGGAGGAGTCGAGGATCCATTCGTCCCAGTTAATGTCATCGAGACCAGAGACGGTGGATGGCAGGGCAGAAAAATCAGCAAACGTCTCACTTGCTGCATCCTTAGAGAGGTCACCGGACGCAGAGAAGAGAGGCACGGGCACGGGCATGGGCATTGGAAGGAGGTGCTGGGGCTCTTCGTCTGACCGAGGATCAGGAGGAGGTGCACTGTGTGCAGCTGGGGCGGGAGAATCGTCGGCAGGTCCAGGGGAGGTGTTATCGTACGTGACGGTAGCCATGTTGCGAGATGAGATGATGGGTTGCTCTTCTCCCCTCGATCTCGATCCAGGAGGCCCTTGATGTCTTTATATGTCCCACGTTCAGTCCCCGCCTGCGAACAAAAATAGGTCGAGGCTAATCAAGAAGGGTAGGAAGAATAGAAGCTGAGATGCGGCTTGTGTGGATCGCCAATCATCCACACCGAAGAAGCCGCCGAACTGGGGAATGTTGCATTGATGGGGTGGACCAACGCAGAAGTGCTCCCACACCCCCATGCCAACTTGGGCTCTCGTCCAGTCAATATTGACCAGTCAACCTAATCAACCCCCCTTTTCACCCCTGGCCACACACCAGGAAGTCAAATCGACAAACCGCCATACCTTTTCCTACAATCAATAGGGCCGGGGACAAGGAGTAGGGAATGTCATGCATGAGAAAGGCCGAGCTTCACCCAACCATGCATGCCAGTCAAAAGGTGCGCCTGGCTTCGCCTCTGTGCGAGCCCATGGATGTCTCTATTGTAAGCGAAATCACCCAACACAAAGCAATATCCGAAGCGCAACTTATATTGAGGCTTGTCAATTTTTGATACACATACTCACGAATGCGTCTTGGCGATCTCATGAGAGATGAGATGCAAAATGCAGCCTGCGCTTCATTCATACCGGCTCCGGGCGCAAGCGAGGAGGGCACCGCCAGATCAAGCAAACTTGGGCTCCATTCTTGTCCAGCCAGTATCGACCAGTTCAGACTTAAAATCTTCAGGGAAGTTGAACCGGCAAACCTCGGGATCCTTTCCTCCAATCGATAAAGGCGAGGGACAAGGGGCTGGCAGATAATGAAAAGCATCCCTGACTTCACCCTTGTTCTCTTTTTGCGAGAGGGCGCAGCGAGATGGGTATCGGATCAGCCCACCCTAGCGTTCCCAGGAAGTAAGGACCAGGTGGAAGGAATTGCTGACAGACAGTGCGGCCAGTCGAACCAACATGGAGTTGAGGTATAAGGGGCTATAAAAGGGTCTCCCTTCTCTCATTCAGCCTTCGCTCTTCTCCAAATCATTTTCCTGCTTCAAACAAGGAACCGAGGACCGTCCACCACTACCCAGTCAACTTTTGTTATCCGGTGTGCTGCAATCCACTGTCCAAGCTCGTGAGATGCTGGATAACCTTTATCAGGAGGCGCTGTCCTCTATCTCTGGTAAGAGTAATATGACATGTTCATCCCTCCCCCTCTCCATTGTCTGGTTTGCTCATCAATGCGATCTTCTATTTCAATTTCTCATCTAAGACTGCAGCTCCCCTTGACGTCCCGCCCAAGCAGCTGTCAAATAACCAGTCTCAGCCTCCTGGTGAAATCGAACCTGACAGCAGAGACAATATCTCGGATTCTGGGGCTACGACAGAACCTTTGGCTCTTGATGAGTTTGAGAATCTTCCCTATTGGTATAAGGCGCAGCAGGTTGAAAAAAGTCTTAAGATCTGTCATGTTGAAAAAGTGTGGCAAAAAAATAAACATGTTCACCGTGTGCTTTATGTCGTGGAAACATATCTCCCGGACAATTGGCTCCCCGAAAATGCGAGGCTCCAGCTGCAGAAGCAGGAGGAGAAACAAAGAAGGGAGGAGAAGCTACGAGAGAAACGTATGAGCACATTACGTCCTCGACGATCAACACGCAATTAATGGACGATGGGATGTCAAACCGCTCATTTCTTTATTTGATATTATAATACACAGTCATTTATCCATCTACCTTCTCTTGCATTAATTAGGTGATACTGAAGCGGTGGCTAGTATAGTCGAGTCAACCTTTTGCTCCACGTCTCGCCCATCTGCCGGAACGCCCTAATATGGATCCCCTCCGGGAGTCAGTGAAGTGGTGGACCACGACCAAAACTATACCCTGAAGGAGAGTCACAATCTTGCACAGGGAGCCAGTAAGAATGGAACCCCATGCGGTGTCGGCATCCCTGCGAAAGTAAGCCCCTTCAGGAGTGCCAGAATGTTGTGTGAACATGCAACAAAGATAAAATTCCATGCGGTGTCAACATCCCTAGGGAAGCGAGCTCCTTGGCGAAGTGAGTCCCATGTGGTGTTGGCATTCTTGGGGAAGTGAGTCTTTTGGGGCAGTGAGCTCCTTTGGGGAATGCCATAATTTTGATAAAAAGACAACAAAAGCCATGGAGTGTCAGCAATCCCTGGGGCAGTGAGCTCTTTGAGGAGTGCCAGAATTTTTAGTGAAAAGGCAACAAAGAATTCCATGTGGTGTCAGCATCTCTGGGAAAGTAAGCCCCTTAGGGAATGCCACAATTTTGAGTTAATAGCGACCATAGTAAATTCCCCTGAGGGGCGCCATAACCTCAGTAGAGAAGGCCACGAAATTAAAAGTCCATAAGGAGCCAAGATCCATCAGAGGATGGCACAATGCTGAGTGAAAAAGCCACAGAAAAAATGCCCATGGGATATCAGCTTTTTTAAGTGAAATGCCATATGACAGGGCAAGCGCTATGACTTTGAGAGTGTAGTGGTTCAAATTTATAAGTGGATAGATTGTAGATTCAGCGGCTGCATCATGACACATGTGAAAACATTCATTGTAATTTGCAACAAACAGAATCCCCCATCTACCCACACCCATCTTCAAGTTTCCCTTGCTTCCCCCCTCTAGGCTTCTGATATTTCGTGTAGTTCTCGCACGTCGTTCGGGACGGAGGGGGGTAATGCTTCTCCTGTTTCTGTAAGAGCTACTATGTCTTTCCAGAGCTGTACCGGACATGGCACTCACTATATCTTTGTCTGGTGGTGGAAAGTGGCTGCTGAAAGCATCAGACTTGTTAAAGTTAATTGTAAAGTACCGATTATCTTCATGGATGAGAAGATAGATGCCCTTGCAGCGACAGTCATCAAAGTAGCTACGCAGCATACGCTGGAGTGTGCCTTTTCGTCGGTAACGCATCTGCACAAGACTACTGTGCTCAGTCCATGGCTTCTGGACACGCTTTGTGGTTGATGATTGCATATTGTGATGTTCGATTCTGACGAAGATAAAGGATCTAGGACGATGATTATCACTGAGCACTATGGGAAGAGCTCTCAATTTATAGCCATGAATGAGTGTGTCTAGAAATGGGGTAGCCGCCTTCACTGAGCAAAAAGGCACTTTTTAAAAGTGTACTTCTGAAGGTCATTTCGAGCGATCCGTCGTTTGCTGTGGCGCTTGCGGACCATGATTTGCGATCCGGAACCATCAACCCTCGCCATTTTGACTTGCTATTCACACTCAAGGCCATGCGACTTCCGGCTTGCGAAACACCTTCATGGCTCTAAAAGCAGCTGAAAATGCGAGGAGCTATTCTTTGAAATTTTGCCTCTCTCTACGCATAGGTTTTGGCCCCGATAAAGCACTTATCTACAGGCCATCCGTGCTAGGAATAATGAGGCACACCCAAGAAAACCGCCCGTCTCGAATAGCCTATCAATAATGCCAACTCTCCTCGAAGTCCCGTAGAAATATTTAGCAATATACCTGAAAATTCCGAAGATGAGGATCTCTTCAGCTTTCGCCTCGCCTGCGTACGAACTTTATCTAGGAGATGCAGAAATTTTTGAGCAGCCAGGTCTTGATACGGCATGCGTGACATGAGCTTTCCTCAACTTCCCAAATTGCAAAACTGTAGTCACTTGGAAAAGATTCCTTGGCAACATTAAACATCAGCCACTGGCACCTGCTGTTAATGAAGTGTGATAGCAGTGGCCATGATTATTGTCAGCAGTTTATAATTAATTAGCTAGCATTAAATTCTAGTTCTACTTCTTGCCTTTGGCAAAATCTCAATCTAACTGTACTGGAACTTCAATCGGCCGTCCATCTCAAGCTCAATCCGAAATATTTTGCTCACAAATTCTCAATAAAAACCTTTAAAGTCACTTCTACTTCAGATGGTAGAAAATGGAACCCCTACATGGGTTATTAGCCCGAGGGCTTAGTCTTCTTCGAAATATCATCAAAATCATCGCCGTCGCTTCTTCTGCGGAGAAATGGCTTCGGGTGAAATTTTGCGCTTTGCATTCACTAAGCAAGAGCCACAGTGCAAGAGGCCAGGATCATCATGGTCGGGCGTGCCAAAGGGAGAATCCAGCCCCTGGGCCTCAATGAAAGAGGCCATGGTCCTGGGAAACCAGCTCAGTTTTCGTGATTGGCCATTTTGCGTGCGGAGCGACAACGCTACCACATCGGTAAGATGGCAAACATCAAACTGGATGCTTTTGCGATAGCGGTGACACGCACGACAGATGTCGCGATTGAGTTGGCCGCAGGATAATACACTGGATGGTGTCACGTACTCCACTGGCATCATCCTGAGATCAGCGAGGGCATTAATAACCGGTTCGCAATCGATCCGGCATCGTATAGAACCCTGGCAGTGATATAAACCATCGGCGTAATAGGGATGGGCATCCAGGGAAAAATAGAGATTTGAGGCAAGGAGACGGAACGCGGCAGCTACCAAGTCCTCCCTGGTTGTGGGGTGTAGGTACACACTGCGGCAAAGGGTCAATAGATCCTTGGTGTTATCCAGCCTGGAAGGCTCGATCAGGGTAGGATTAAATCGGAGATAGTCATCCTTTTCGGCATCGCTGCGTGCATTCTCCAGGCCCCGCCATCTTGACTCACCGTCCAGAAATGATATAAACGACCGCCAGAGATGTCGGACCGAGCTTCCTTGGCTCGAAGCGCCTTCTTCCGGTTCCACACCAGTCCCAAAAGCGATGACAACGTCCGGCTCCGTTATGTCGGGCCAGATCCTTGACCACTCCCACTCGGCCATCTCAAATGGGTTGGGAAATGCGAGGCCGCCGTCGATGAAACACCCTGCAGCCATCTTCGCTGGTTTGAAGAATCTAACAGTTTATTAGCACCTGAGCAAAGTGGTAAAATGCGACGGGGAAATTACAAACATTGGAGCTGCCGACGTTGCCCTTCCTCTAGTACAATTAGCTCACAATAGGGAATATCAAAAACGGGAGGAGAGGGGAGGGGGCCTTACGCTTCCCACAACTTCGGTTCTTTATCGATATCTCGAGGGCGTACCAGCTCGTAGCCCGCTCCCGGCCTTATCGGAACGGAGCCATTGTAGTTCGTCAGGATAGACGGAGAGCCTTTGTCCGAGACTGCAGTGAGCGCGACCCGCGTACCCGACACGTTGACATGATCAAACAGTCGCCTCGATACTCCAAACTCTTCCTGAAGAAATTCCACTAGATGGACCTCGCTGTACATCGCGTCTGTGAGCAAATATCTGGAGGCGGCCTTCAGACGCGCCCATGCTGTGCCCGGGGAGTCGCCGAAGCAGCGGCGGGCCAGAGCGCCAGATCTCTTGCTACAGGAGGATGCACTATGTCCGAGGATAAATATATCGGGGATGATGAGGCCGCCTTTGTGGTCATTTTTAGCAAACGTTGGATGGGATTTGGGGAAGGGCTAGTCACCAGAGCTTGTTCCCGCTGAGAAATCAATCACCGCAGGTAGAGAACATCCGCCGAGAAGAGCTTCGAGCCTCTTGAGGAACTCAAGAGGAATAACACCCCTGGCGCCTCCACCATCAATGGTGAGAACGCGAATCCCCGCCGTCTTCGGTTTGAGGTCGACAGTCAGTTCTCCCTGAGCAAGACAGAATACGCATTCGTTGACGAGATAGCGACTCAGTTCTCGGCGCACAGCGCCCAAATCTCCTTACACAGACATCACATATTGCATGGCCGCACATGGGTACTCTCTCCGGTGGACGTCGCAGGCAGCAGAGACAGACCTTGTTGCTTTGCGGCAGGCGCAAGACCGGGTACTGAGATCGAATGTTATCCACATGGCGGATTGCTGAAGTGACATCATGCCGCACGACTTGACGAAGAAAGGTCTCCAGGTGGGTCTCAACGTCGCGACAAAGAGTGAGCGCAAGGTTTTGGCCATATGACGCGGCCTCCAGGGCCGCGAGGAGATGCCGTTCATAGAGGGCGCGAAAGACAACTCGGGGGGGGAAATCTACTTTATATCAGCAACGGACACGAGGCAAGATCGGGCCTGACCTACAGTGCATTCTCGGTGGGTAAGCATCCATAAGAATACTCGAGGCCATGAATGATGATACTGTACCACGAGGAATCTTAAATCTATCACAGAGACCAAGAAATGTTTGCAGATGACCCGTGTAGTCATCGTGCAAGATGTTATCAACTCGACTTGCTGCAATGAAATCAAACTGCTCCGAGATGCTCATAGCAGTGTGCTGCATTGCCTGTCGAAAGAAAGCGTCGAGATGCACACTGGAAAAGAGACAGTGATACTGACGGCGGGTATCTTGGGCTTCTTGCATCTTGCTAAGGATCTCCTCCTTGAGACGCAGATAACGTGCGCAGGGGGAGAGATGATCTCCAACAAGTCGAAACAGTTTGATGGATCGAAACGACTTGCTGAATGCTTCCCCCATAGCATGGATCTGGGCGCGGAAGTCCTCGGCTAGAAGGTCGCTTAACGGTCCTGGGCCAGAGGTCACCACTATAAGAGTAGGACGGGTGCTAGACGGTAGGCTGGATGCACTGCCGATGCGAGCCCACGTATGAATTCTTGCAGCGACAGAATGCAACGTGGGGAAGTCATCAGCGAACACACAGATTACATCGCTGAAAAGAAATAGTAGCCTTGCATGGAGAATGTCAAAAAAAGACCAGTCTGCCGCCAGCGGCCACGAAATGGGATGGGCCGCGCCATGATGGCAGGGATTTGCCCGATCGCTGTTTTCTTGGCCGAACGGGTCGCTGTCAGCAAAGAGAAGAGGGCTTGGAGTGTTCACAGAAAGTGCATCCAGGTGTAGATTTATCATGCCCGTTTTGGCGCCCCTTCGCTTCTTATCGGGACATAACTGTCTTAACGCCCCATCCTTGATCCGCGAGCCAATAAAGTGGACCAATCGTGGGTACTGTTTGGAGGGATGAGTCAGTCCACGAACCACGCAGCCAAGACGACCAGTGTCCTCCAATTGGCCCTCGCGGTACCGCAACCAGGTGAGGTGGTCACAGGAGTGCATGTTGGCTCCTCGGACCTGTGAATGAGAGGCTGCTAAGAAAGGGCGGGTTCGTTGGTACTTTATATCTGCCCTGAATTGATTGTTAGACTGCACTTTTTGATATGCTGAAAGGCGAAGTCAAGAATTATATGTTCTTGGGTATGCTATTTATAGACACTAAAATGGTATTTTCGTGGGGCAAAAGGCAACTATATGAATATATAAAAAAGTAACTGGTACAAAAATGAAAATAGAAGCTATGAAATGTAGAGAGAAAAGATAGAGATTAAGCACATTGAACCGGCACCTGACTTGTGAGAATAAAAGACTTTGGGATAAAAGCCTGCATTGAAGCTATGGCCTCAGCAGAGGCGGACGAGAGGCTTCTGCTTGTGAAGTCAGCCTGGTATCGTGGAAAGGCTAAGATTAACCTTCGGCATCTAGTGGCTGAGGATAGGAGAACCCGTGGAGTACGGACGGTTGATCCCAAAATCGTAAAAAATCTCGTGAACATTTTCCGGCTGGAGGGTTGCTTTCGACTGGAGCCAGAGCACCATGTGCCGGTGCTAATTTCTGAGCGGTTGCTTGAGGATGTCCTAAGGGAAACGCAAAAACGGCGGGCCGACCTCATGGGGTATGGCGAACCGCCTCATCTTCTTCTTGCTGATGATGTGAGGCTCAAGGTTCTGCATGGTCAGCATCGGTTACTCGCAGCGGAGCAATATCTCTGGGACAAGTGGTGGGTCGTTGATATATACAGCGATGGTAAGCTTCTCAGACCACGATCAAAATCCCGGGTCTGACCAGATATCCAGGCATGCCAGAGAACGCCGTTGCAGCTATCCGGGAGGAACATTCAAACAGCCGGCAGTTCTGCGATGGAGATATCTATCGCAACCTGCGTTTTCATCAGGCTCAGGGTAATCTGGAACAGGAAGGGAAATGGAAGGCGAGGCTGACAGAGAGGAAGCGGAAGACGGTGGAACAGATGCGAAGGAAGGTGGGAATTTTAAACCGTGGGTTTGACAGGCTTCTGCCATTCATCGGGCTGTGGGCGGGGCTGAGGCTAGGATGCCTCAACCGTCTGCTGCCAATGCGTTGCCCAGAGGTTGTGATCCCCCTTCTCTTGACTAAGTTCAAATGCTCATAAAGGTCTAGGAGCTATCGCATTATCTTGATGTCATGTTCACAAGATGGGAGTGTATCTTCGCCCGTATGGAAGGCGAATACCCTCTCCTTGACCCCGGCACGGTCTTGGAGCTTGAAACCCTTACGCCTAAATACTCGACACATGATCGAGCCAAAATCGAACGTATGATGCAGGAGAGAAAGATATTCCCCGCTGTAACATCAGAGCAGTGTCGCAGTGCCATCCTCACTGGACTTCTTGGTGTGGACGGACGGATTTTGTCATTCTATACCTTCTATCATGATGCAATCTACTTTGAAGCATGCTCTAAAATCATGCGGGGTCTTCTCCCACCCAACTTCAAAGATTCCATTCGGGATGCGTTTTTCTATTGCTTCACTGGCGTGAACCAAACTCCACGAGAGTTCAAGGTACAAGTGATGGAGGACGAAATCTTGCGATATCAGGGGAACGTGAGAAGCCGGAAGCTCTTGGGATACCAGCAACTTTTCCTCGCGGCAATGCGCTCCTACCCGATCTTGACAGATCTTGCTCCACTTCGTGGGGGAAAACACGAAAAGCTGACCATCGGGGAATCGGCCACGGAGCATTGGTACCGGATGGCACGTCTGGCTTTTGACCTTGGATTTGAAAACATGCGGATTCAAGAGATCATGGGGCCAGAGAGACGTAATCCCGGAGTGGAGACAGTAGAGAATCTTCTGAAGCAGTTCCGGCCCCCGCAGCTGTACGACTGGGATGATCACCTCTTCCGTACTCTTGCACAATACATGACGGACCAGATTGAGCGAGCGACAACCCGTCGACTTCGACGGCAAGGCCCCAGCTTCACTACCGACCTTGACCCGCTACCGAAAGCATTGCGCTGCAATCGGGCATCAGATCAATCATACATGAAGGACCGAGAGTACTACTTCGCCAACTTCATTCGTGATTTTGATCCTATTCCTCGTGCCCATCTCACCTCTCTTTCCATGCAGCGTGATATCTTTATATGCTTCCTTGGAGATGTTTCCTTCCCTGGCAATGCGCCGAGGGGTACAGAGAGCGACGGAACCCCCGGGGGGGCCAACGGGGAGGATTACGACGCGGATATCAGCCATCATTCAGACGACAGAGGCGGCAGCCTAAGCGGTGAAAAAGCCAGTTCTCAGAGTGAAAGTGGACAGGAGGATAGGTCCGGGCGCCAAAGCTATGAACAGGATGGTGCAGTCGCCAGTGATCCGAGTGTGACGGGGGGGAGTGATGACATAATGACGGGCGCACGTGATCTGATTGCCGAAGAAGCGCTCTTCGATAATGTGCCAGCTGCAGATGGGTTTGAATCTACGGGCGCCGACATGAACATGTTCCACCCTATACCGGAGGGGAGAATACCCTCGGAATTGGTGACCTTCTTTCTGTCCCAATCGTTGTTGGTGATGTATGTTTGGGACACGAGGGTGTATATAAAATTCTTCAATGACGCGAAGAATAGAAATATTTTTGAGCAGGTTGCCTGCTCTCTGGCTGACAAGGGCCACTGCTTTCTCATATTTGAAGACGAACGAGTTATAGTGAAACAAGTGCCAGAGCTGTGGAAGGCAACACAACAGGCACGGTTGGTACTGGCCGGACCGAAACTCGATCCTCAATCCACATCGGGGTTGAGTTTACAAAGCTGCACAAAAGAAATGGTTCTTTCTCAGATTGATAGATGTGGCCGTTCGGGTACATAGTCAGCTCATATTAATATTTGGTATATACATCTGTTCATATCAAGTCCTTTCCCCTTTAGTCTAAACCCCTCTCTTCTTCTACACAAGAAGGGGGCCGTGCTATTTAGATCCCTCCACTTGCTTGTGGGAATAGGGCTCAGAATCGTTTCCAATGAATGGTTCGAGCTGGTGTTTAATCTGCGTGGCTTCCTCAAGAGCTCCAGGCACACCAGCAGCGGCATCCATCACCAGTTTACAGTATTGTGCCATATCCTGGTCAATGTCTTCCTGCAAAACACCGAATTGCCATGCACGAACTTGCTGGCATAGAGAACAGTCACAGTCCCCTTGCGGGTCTGAACACGTCACGGGAAGGGCGTCCCAAGCGTCGGATCTTCTCGTCTCAGACCCTCTGGATCCATCTCCCTGCCACGGATCAGCATCAGGCCTTAAGGATATAAAGGGGGAACGTACCCTAGGATCGGTTGACGATGTATTCGCCTCACTTGAATTGTACTCCGCACGGATAAGATTCAATTTGCCTTTTAGACCAGGAATAGATCGCTGACGTTCAGAGCTAACCGCCCGGTTGTAGTGGGTAAATATTTCCGTCCAGGAGTAACCGCCCCCTTTCAACTGGAGGAGGAGCAAGGTTTCCCAACCGTAATAGGGTTTATTGGTTCCGGAGGGAGAAGGCATAGTGCTTCACGTTAACTGGTGAAAATAAAACGTCGTGAAATCCTCGAGCTTGATAAGGGATTACCGGTGAAGGGCCGAAGCGTATTTGTGGTCTGGGAAGTTGATAAGAAAAGTTCGTCATCCACCGCTTCACTATTTAATTCCGCTAACGTCGACGGTAGCCGATCTCAACTGGGTGTATAAGTGGATGGGCAAACTTCTAGAGAATGATACCAAGAACTACGTTAGTATTTCTCCCATGGAGCTTTTGATGTATTATCATAACCATGCGCCCAGATACTTCGTTTTGGTCTATATCTACCTTCCCGCCCGCGTGAGCCAGAGGCTCAAGGGAAACATAATCGAATTTGGAAAATATACGGGGTCATGGATCCGCTGAAAATAGTGTCTCAGGAGTTCTGGGCACGGGAAGGCAAAAAGCTTGTGACAGGTGGGTTGCACAATTTCTTTCTTTCTTTCAAGTTGCTGACTTTTACAGTCTCTGCAGATGATGATATTCGGGACGCGGTGAGAATTCTGGTCCAAGAGAGAATGAGCGATCCGGTGGATATTATCGATCTGGACTTCCAGCCGCCAGTGATGAACAAGGGTGGCATTTTTAGAGCGAAGGCCGCAGAAGCATCAACTGTGTGAAATATATTTCTCCATGTGCTAATTTACCTCTGGTTCTTATTGGTCCCTTTTCTTAACCCCAGCCAAGCGCTGAATCCTAAACATATAAATGAAACGGCGTTAACTCTCTGAATGTAAACTTCTATTTTTAGAAATATAATAACAAGCGCTCATTCATATTTAGCCAACTAATTCCACTTAACTACTTAACTGAGATGCTTCTTTGCTTACATCATTTGAAAAATCTCATTATTTTACCTCTTCTTTGTTATTGCATTTAAAGAGTTGGACTTCAGATCTTAGAACGGGATATAATGACACTAATAAAATGCATACTTTTAGAAGTTACGTTTTATACTTATCTTTTTAAAATCTTGAGGGGTAAACTGAAATAATCTTAGTATAAGAGAAGAGAAAATATCTTTTACCGTACCACAAAATGGTTATTACACCCGCAGACAGAATGAATTCGTTACAAATTACCTACAACCCCAACCACTACGCCGAATTTTGGAACCAAGCAACGCCTGACATCAGAGCTGTTATCTGGAGACATAGGGAGATCAACGCTGATTCCGTCAAAAGAATCGTAAGCAAAAACCGAGAGATCGAATCATGGAACAGAGAAAGATCAATTCCTGAGCAGTATGGACAGCAGCTCGATCTCTGCGTATTCACCATGATAGGGAGTTTAATGGATTTTGTGTTTCAACAAAACAGCATCGAGAAATTCAATCACGCCGTGTCATTATTAAACTGGTACCTGGTGAGCAACCAGTATCCAGTCAGCTGGGGCTTGGCAGAAAATATGAGGGCAAAAAGCTCGGAGAATATCGAAGATCAAGAGATTCATCAAAACATTGCCAAAGACCCTCAACGAAACAGCTCACCCTATAGTGGGGTTAATCCCAACCGAGACACCGAAGCAAAAAGTACGAAAGAAGATGTAGCCAGTGATAACGAAAATGAGAGGGGTGAATACTTTGCAAATGCTATTCTGCAAGAATACATCGGAAATGAAGATTCTGAAGAAGACAAGTCCTCCTTTTCCGGAGGCTTATCCGCTGGAGACCCCTCCCCTGAAGGCTCTTCCCCCGAAGATTCCACCTCTGAAGATTTATCCTCCTCTGAAGACTCTTCCTCCGCAAATTCCTCCAAAGACTCCTCCCAAGACTATTCCTCCGAGGAGTATTCCTCTGAAGACTCTTCTCCCGAAGATTCCACCTCTGAAGATTTCTCCTCCTCTGAAGACTCTTCTTTCGAAGACTCCTTCAAAGACTCCTCTGAGGGCTATTTCTCTGAAGGCTCTTCCAACGATTCCACCTCCGAAGATTTTTCCTCCGAAGAAGACTCCGAAAATTTCTCTAATGACTCATCTGAAGATTCCACCTCCGAAGAAGCGGATTTCTCATGGGACGAGGAATATTAATATAGAATATATGAGAAGGCAAACACCTATTATCTTGATAAATCTGCTATATATCAAAAGATGAGGATAGTGGTTAATTTAAATGACATCCAGAATCTCATTAACAAGATTTTCATAGTCATATTCTTTCATATGAATCACACCTCACAATATCTTGCGATGATTTAATGTTTTGCTTCTCTCTTTTCTTCTTTCTTTTCTTTGTGTATTTATCAGAATTCATTACTGCTCTCGTGCCTTTTATTCTTCTAGGAGAAGTAATATTATGCTGTACCTTAAATATATAGTGGTTAGATCATTTCAGGAGTCTCAACTTGAAAATGAGGTAATAGAAATAAGCTTTTTTGCCAAGAAGGCGGCGCTGTAGGCTGTAACTAACTAGTCGAAACGCTGCTCTTTGCATTAAGTTGCCGCAATTGCTTGGCGGGTGGTGTCCCTCTCATGAATGCACATAGATCCTGCCTTAGATGCCATGTATTCTCAAACAGGCGAGATTTGTATATTACAACTAAATTTATATTGAAAATGCCACCAAGCTCAATATGTGATAGTGATACTGGTTTCTCCATAAGAAATGTAGTGCAGAAGGGCGCAGGGGGTGTGTATCATCATAACAAAAAATTTCTGATTGCCAATAATATCATCGTCGGCCTCGGATCATCTTTAAATTTGATTTTTATCCGGAAAAATACTTCTCCCCTTGTAAAATTTTAATTTTACCTTCTATCGCTCACCAGGCTGAAACACTGACCACTCGTCTCGGTGAAATCTGCTTCCCATTAGGACCAATGGAGCAAGACGACTTGCACTGACTGCAAATGCTAAAAACACATGCTTCTTGCGGTCAGACAGTTATTCATCAAAAGATAAAATGTAAACTCACACTGAGAAGATCTGGTATTGAACCAGCATCTGTTTTTTTATGAAATTCCAGAATCTCTCCACCCCATTTTCTTGGATTCTTCAGGACTAAGCTATTTGGATTTAGATAGCTATTCCCAGGTTCCATGATCTCTGTCATTATCCATCCAACCGCACGGATATCATTCTGTTTCTGGCCATGATGGCTGAGCATACTAGACCCGACGTCTCCTGTCTCTCTCATTAGCAAGGATCTATGGAAGTATAGCAGCGAGTGATGTACCAATCTTGATAACCCCGGAAAGAGTCACGAAAACATTGCTGCTTCTGATTTCTCCATGACCGATATGCAACTCTCTGTGAATATATGAAAGTCCTTGAAGAACCTATTGCAAAAGTTAGAATCCACTCTATTTTAAAGTTGTATTTCTTCTCACCTCCTTGCAGATAGCGGCAATATGAGCCTCTTTCAAGCTCACACATGAATGTAAATGGTTCAAGGAAAGATCCACTCGCTCGTAAATCAGGTATACAATTTCCTTGTCAATAAATGCAGCCTTCAGGTTGACAAGATTTACATGCGAAGTTCTGACCAAGCTCCTGGTAGGGTTCACTGTCACGTTGTGGCATACTTTAACAGCCACCATCGAAGCTGTCTGTGACTTTTCGAAGGCCAGGTATATACTCCGTGATTTCCCTTCTTGAGTGAATCGCTCGTATCGTTGCCAGGGATTGCCAGTTTGGCAGAAATCCGTTTCTTGTCGCTTAACTTCCCCCGGGCTCTCATTTGAAGACCGTTTCACGGTAACAGGAAGTGGCGGTGGCTTCTGCCGTTTTTGCAGGCGTGGTGGCTGCCCACAAGGGGCTTGAACTTCCTCGTGTTCATAATTCATGGGAGATGATGCTTCCAAGAGCTCCCCTTCAATATCGAGGCTCGTTGGAAAGACAGTGCATCGCTTCTCTGAAATGTCGGACGCCATTCTGATTCAATTGAAGTAAGAACCTTCGTTAAACATGAACAAGAAACGAGATTTAACTCACCTTATTAAGAAACAATATTAAGAAAGAATAAAAGTTAACTTTGTCATTTTCTAGCCATAGTTACAAAGTTATTTTCATTGACTAATCTTATTTTTTGAATGTTAACAATTTCAATTATTAACTTAAACTTCTTTCACTACTCATGAATTGTATTTAAAGTACCGACTGCCCAGTATTATTATTTGCAGCTCACCTTGAGTCAGAGCCTCTCAGTATCATAATTGCAGTTCACTTCAGTTCTGCTTCACCTGTCTTAGAAGTCTTTTAAAATTCCTTACATGATTTCCCTTTTACCATCAATGAATATTAAAAATTTAACTCTTATTTACATTATCCCTGCCCTTTGCCTTCAGTCTATCTATCACCACCCTTCTGAAGGCACCAGACTCTCATTCACTGGCTCAAAGCCTGTTAGGAGCGTCTTATCACCGCCATGGTCAAATCACAGCCATATTATTCTTGGTCCTTCTGCGTCCGAAGGTGTCACGTGGCCCGGTGGATCAGTTACTGGCCTTCCTCCAATTAGCTTACCTCCTGGCGTAACCACCGTCCCGCCCGGTGTGTTTTACACCGGTGTGCCCACGAAGTCGAGCCGGGCATGGCCCCTGGCAAGTGTTTCTTCAACTTATCCGACCCACGGGCCTGTAACGCGACTTCCGCCCGGCCCAAGTTCTTCGCTGTTTGTTAACGCTGCTACCCATGTGGTAGCAGCTCAGCAACTGTTATTGTGGGCAACTCTTTTGTTGCGGATTGTATAGCTGCTTAGCAAGGGGCTGCGGATGAAGTTTCAGTTTGTACTTTGAGGTTAAAAGACAGCTTGACGTGGGACGATTTTACCATAAGAATAATTTTGCAGTAATTATTACGCAATTTCCATGCTGTATTCATATAATATTTGTATTTGAGTGTTTTGATCATAATTCTCGCCCGGTTTTTTTATCATCCGTTCCATTTCGTAGCTGTGGTGGTACATGAAATGTCACATCATATACAATCTAGATGGTAGTCAAGGTCCTCCAGCGGGCACCCAACTCCCTCTAATCCGAAAGAACTAAGTGCATGCTTTAGTGTATTTCGCCCCGCAATTACTCCATATTGCCTCCGAGGAAAATCATGAATCTTGCAGCCTTCTTAGCTCCGGCGACCCTGCCATACTTTTAGATTTGAGCTTTTGCTACAGAGCGTCCACAGGGGACAATGCCCACCAGGAGAAGCGCCCACAGGGGAGAAGTTCCCACCAGGGGAGAAGTTCTCACAGGGGAGGAGCGCCCACAGGGTAGGAGTGCCCACAGGGGAAAAACGCCCACAGGGGAGGAGCGCCCACAGGGTAGGAGCGCCCACAGGGGAGGAGCGCCCACGGGGGAGGAGCGCCCACAGGGGAAAAACGCCCACAGGGGAGGAGCGCCCACAGGGGAGGAGTTTGTTGAAGCAAGTGATAGTAGTGTGTTCATTGTTGTTATTATTCTATTCAGCAGAGGTGGGATCCCCAATATATATATATACATACAGACGTACAAGTTTCAGATCTCTTACACGTGTTTCAACCACCGTGATACTCAACACTCCCACTCGATGGCAACCGTCAAGGTTGCCAGTGATCATTCATCACGGTCGTAACAGGCCCCGTTAAAACCTTTTTCAAAAGGAAAAACCTCTCAAGAAGGAAAACCTTAAGAACGAAGGAAAGGGTGCCCATTGGTCTCGTTTCTACCTAAGGCCAGGCTGCGAGTATCATTCGATGCCAAGCCCTCTCCGGAACCATTCGAATCTGTCTCGTGCAAGAGGCTTGGTGAACCCATCGGCAATTTGTTCCGCAGTTGGGATATACTTCAGTTCAACCATCTCCGCATCTTGGACTTCTCCTTGCCATTTACGTTGTATTTCCATATGCTTGGTACGTGAGTGGTATTGTGGGTTCGATGACAGAGCGATGGCTCCCTGATTGTCGCCACAGATGATCGTTGCGGCTTTTCCTTGGCTCATATTCAACTCGTTGAGAAGTCTTCTCAGCCAGATTGCTTCCTTGGTTGCTTGTGTCTGTCCCAGGAATTCGGCCTCGCAGGTTGATAGAGCGACAATGCTCTGGCGTTTGGACTGCCAGCTGATCGCTCCGCTCCCGATGTTGAAGAGGTATCCAGCCGTTGATCGTCGAGTGTCGCGGCACCCAGCCCAGTCAGCATCCGTAAAGCCCTTCAGCATTTGAGGGTGGCCCTTATAGGTGAGTCTGAGTCCCTTCGTGCCCTTGAGGTACCGTAGGATGCGCCGAGCAAGTTTTATGTGTTGGGGTCCAGGATTTACTAGGTATCTGCTCGCTATAGAGACCGCATATGCGATGTCTCCCCTGGTCCCGAGCATGATGTACATGAGAGATCCTATAATGCGTTGATATTCAACTCTTTGATATGGGGGACAGCTGTATCCTGGGCTGTTGTCCGGCAGTGGTGAGGTCTCTATGGGTGTGCTGACGGGAGCACAATTGTCCATTCCAAACTGATGAACCACCTTGTCGATGTAGGCTTCTTGACTCAGGTACAGTATCCTGTTCTGGCGGTCTCGCTGGATGGACATCCCAAGATAATAGGTACACGGTCCGAGGTCCGTCATTTGGAAACGGTTTCTGAGGGTTCTCTTGATTCTTTTTATCTCGGCAATACTTGGCCCCACAATCAAGAGATCATCGACGTACACCGCGATATACATGTTGCTCCGCACGAATATTCCAAGATCAGCGCTGATTGGCTCGAAGCCGAGACCGCGCAGGAAGTTTGTAAGGGTCTGGTACCAGATACGAGGAGCCTGCTTTAGGCCATAGAGCGCCTTCCGGAGCCTGCAGACCCTTGGCGTGCCATCTGTCACGTGATGGGGCTGCTCGAGGTAGATCTCATGGTCAATTTCGCCGTAGAGAAATGCCGTTTTGACATCCATTTGTTCAATCTCAAGACCCAGAGCAGCTCCAATTGCGAAGAGCGCTTTGTAGCTCATTGGCTTGACGACTGAAGCGAATGTTTCGTCATAATCGACACCCTCTTTTTGCGTGAACCCTCTCACTACCCATCTTGCCTTGTGACGGATGACCTCCCCATGAGGTCCACGTTTAAGCTTGAAGACCCACTTTCCGCTCAGAGTCCGCCGGTCTTTGGGAGGATCAACAAGCTCCCACGTTTTGTTTTGTTTGAGCGAATTGACCTCTTCAAGCATTGCCTTTTCCCATTCAAGCCAGCTTGCGTCGTTCTTCGCTTGCTGAAGAGTCTTGGGCTCAAAGGGTTCCGTCTCTTCTGCAGCGATGGTTAAGAATGTTGGGATTGTATTCCCTTCAGGTACGTTCATTAGTGCAAGGTCTTCCTCGCTATCATTAGACGTATCCTGTGTCGCCTGTAAGGCACGGGTTTTCAGTTCAGGATGTCGTTCTAGTGCTTCTTGTTGCACGACATGAACTGATCGGTCAAGTTGGAGTTCTGGATATCGTTGCCATCCTCCTGAAACTTGATACTGCTGAGCGTTGCCTTGTTGCTGGTCGCCGCCGGGCAATGAGTCATTTCCCTGGAGATCATCTTGGATAGTATCCGAGAGGGATCCAGAGGCGTCATCACTCCGTATCGGGGACAAGGTCCTATCTCCCTGTTCAGCAACAGTAGGCTGCGAGTCATCGTCACTCGACTGGGGTAGCGCTCGTTGTTGAGTGTCGTCCTGTCGCTGGTCGCCGTCGGTCAGTGACTCACTCGTCTGGAAATCATCCTGTATAAAATCTGAAAATGATCCAAAACTGTCGTTACTCCGTATCGGCGACAAGGTCCTATCTCCCTGTTCAGCAACATTAGGCTGCGAGTCATCGTCACTCGATTGAGACGACACTTGTTCCTGCGAGTCATCGTCACTCGACTGATATACTTGCGAGTTCTCGTTACTCGACCGGCGTAGTATCCGCTCTGGTGCTGCCATCGACACTTGGCGCCCAGAGGCTGGTACGGATGCTTGCCGTATGCTTACAGACGGTTGGTCCAGTCGTCCAGCCGTCTTGTTCCCCCCTGCGGCAGCAGCCGTTGCCTCAGGTAAGCCGTTCAGTCTGGCTCCCACGTCTTCTAGAGTCTGCGTGGAGGGGTTTGTAAGGATTTCATGAAATTCAGCATTTGGGGTCCCAATGATTCTTCCGTCCTCCAGCAAGATACGGTAGTTGGTGTTTCCTTCGTAGCCTAGCAGGATGCATGACCTTGTTCTTGGCTCCGTGAGCTTCTTCCTTTGCTTGGGTGGGATCAGGTATTCCCCCCTGGATCCGATCACTCTCAGTCGTGACAGGTCAGGTTTCTCGCCGTACCACGCTTGGTACGGTGTCATGTTAAGCCTTGATGACGGCGACCGGTTAGAGAGGAAAGCTGCGGTGCGTGCGATCTCTGGCCAGAACTTGAACGGAAGTTTTGCATGGGCCAGTGTGGGTCCAACTCGATCATAGATTGTCTTATGGGCTCGTTCAGCAACGCCGTTCTGCTGATGTTGATCCACGCCGGTGACCTCGGCCTTAATTGCCCGAGAGAAAAGTATGAACTTCATTTCTTCTCCCACTTGTTCAGGGATCCGGTCGAGGCGTATTCGTCTGCATTTTCGTTCAGGACGTTCGTTGTGGTCGATGAAGAAGCGGAGTGATTCGATGACAAATCCTTGCCGTCGTGGTATGGGGATGATCTCTATCCAACCGGTTGAATCGTCGACGATGGTGAGCCAATAGCAACTGCCGTCGAGTCCCTCATCAAATGGTCCTGCAACGTCGATATGAAGTAGTTCCATTGGATATTCACCTCTTCGATGCGGTGCTGAGCGACCGTGGGGTTTCTCAATCATTCGGCCCTGGAGGCATGGGTTGCATGGTTGCCTCGGCTCTACGTCTCTTACACCGTAGGCTTGCCTTTTGAGACGCCGTAGATTTGTATCGCTCATGTGAGCTAGCCGATTGTGCCAGAGCTTCATTTGAGGACTGACATGGTAAGCTGGAAAGGTGAGACTGGCCCATAGATCGAGGGCATAGACCCCCTGATACTGGCTTGCAGTGTACAGATTCCTTCCGTTTGATTTGCTGCGAATACGTGCACCTTGACTTGAGAACTCAATCTTGGCTCCTCGCTTGAGCAGTTGCATCACGGATATGAGGTTTGCGTGTGCTGACGGGACAAATAGGACGTTGTCAAGGACAAGCCATTTCCTTCTGTCTCGTACGCTGCAGAGGATGTTCACCGTTCCCACTCCCAGTGGGGCCGTCGAGGCATCGACACTCCTGAGCGGCGGCCCACAATAATTGTTCAGCTGGACAAACTTCGATCTGTTGTTGCAGACGTGCTGAGCACATCCACTGTCGACAATCCAAGCGTCGTGGATCGAGAATGTCTTTGTAGCCATCATTGCGAGGGTGTGGCTAAATACGGCAAGGTTCCCTTCGATGTCCTTTCCGAATGCTGCATTGACGTCTTCTTCTGTGGCCCTCATCGCCATGAAGGTGGGTTTCTTTGAATCCTTTGGACCACCCACGTCGTCGTCTTCGTCGTCAGTGGTGGACTGCCTCTTCAACGACTTCGATGCGCCCGTAGATGAACTGCCCGGCCTCGGCCTTGGCTTCTTTCCATCTCTCTTCTGATCCTTTAGTCCGGGGTTCTTGCTGAAACATCCCGAGTCTCTATGGTAAGGCTTCCGGCAGAATGAGCAGTACGGAACATTATCGATCTCAATTCGACATGTGTTTAAGTCTGATGACGGTATAACTCTCTTCTCGCCTGGCACTCGTACCAGGGCGAGAGCAGGAAGCGCCCGCGCCTCAGTGGGTTGTCTGCCTAGTTGGCCCTTTCTGTGCTCTTCCTCGATTGCCTTGTTTTCGATGTAGTCGAATGAGGGTGCTGCTCTTGTAACGGCTCCATTCGCGTCCCTTTCATTAACAAGGTCCATCTGTCTAAATATATGGTCGCGGAAGCTTTCATACTCCGGACCAAGTGCATGCATGAAGAAGAATGTTCGCTCGATTTCCGAGGTTACGCAGTCTGGATCGAGTAGAAGCTTTTCAGCGTGGATCTTCCTGATCTCGGCTCCTAGGGCTTGCGCGCTTCCGCATTTCTCTCTCGTGAGGGACATATACTGCCGCTGGAGATTGACGTATGTTCCAGTGCCCTCCGGTTTGAAGTTATTCTTTACTGCTTTGATGAGGGTCTCAACTTGAGATATCTCAGAGGCCTTGATTCGTTGTGCTGCATTGTGCGTCAGCTTGGCCGCGATCATTGCAGAGTAGAACTTTTGGCGATGGGTCCACCGCCGCGCCTCCTCTTCCTCCGCCGGCGGAGTTACTCCATCATCGGCGACAGCGGATATTCGGATGAACTCATTGACCTTCTGGTTCCACTGGAACCAATCACCAGCATTATCCAATGTCGGAATGACATTGTAAAACGTATTTAAGCCAAACTGCTCAAACTTAGCAATGTCAGTCATGGCGCCGGTGATAGCTAGTCACAACTGAAAAATTCTGAAGTTGACGCGTCGCTGGACCGACTTGGGGTAACAGAAGAGGCACAGTCCGATGGACTGATGGAACGTGCTTCCAAGCCAAAGAGTTCTAGGCTTGATACGGCACTAGGCGGACCTGATACGACGGAAAGACTGCGGTCCGACGGGCCTGGTGTAGGCGAATGGGATGGAGGGGTGTAGTCCCTGTCTGGCAACCTGCGCAGTTTCAAGTGTTTCTTGTATGATTGGAAGAAATGAGGAAAGTGGATGCGGTTAACCAGGTATCGCTGGTTGCCTGTCCGAAAGGTTTTAGGTCTGTTCGACCGAAGGTTGTACCGATTTGTAGTTCGATCGATGGATCCCGAGGGGGTACTGTCCTCCTCGTGACTTGTAGAGATGTCGGTGTCGTCTTCAGCCTCAGCCAGGGAGTGAGCTGATCGTCTCGGCTCCTGTATTGGTGCCGGGTGTACAGGTTTTCTACCCCGAGGAGACTGGCGAGTGGCGATACTTGAAGTAGCAGCGATTGATGAACGTCGTGTGCGCTCTTTAGCGGGCATGCGTTCATACCTTCCAGAGATTGACTTCACTGTGTATGTTGGGAAGTATCTTTTTTGGATCAAAGCATACGGCCAGTGACTGGCACGGCCGAATGCTAGAAGGTTGAGTTCTTCGTCTGTCCACCGATGAGAGCGCTGCCGCGTGACAGTTATTTTGTTGGATTGTAGGTGCGAGGAGCTGGAAGAATGTGTCATCCGACGTGCCGGTGGCATTTTTTCTTCTTGATCTCACGAGTACTTTTGGCGATGAAGGTGGGTTAAGTAGTGTGCGACTGGGACTTGACCCCTTTGCTTCATCATGGTTTCAGTTGATGATCTGCAGGGGGAGAACTGTTTGAGGTCTGTCACAGTATTCATTGCGGAATGAAATTTTTCACTGCTTTAATTCCTTCTGAAGTCTTCTTAAGCTCCTTTTTTCCTTTCGACATTCTTCATCGAGTCACTATCATCGGTTGTCAGATTCCTGGGTATCATCAGTCTATCACTTGGCAGGGAAACTTAGCTGTATATGGTATGTCCAAGAATGCTAGGTGCGAGCCCGGGCTCATAACCTGTTGAAGCAAGTGATAGTAGTGTGTTCATTGTTGTTATTATTCTATTCAGCAGAGGTGGGATCCCCAATATATATATATACATACAGACGTACAAGTTTCAGATCTCTTACACGTGTTTCAACCACCGTGATACTCAACAGAGTTCCCACAGGGGGAAAAACGCCCACAGGGGAGAAGTTACCACAGGGGGAGAAGCGCCCACAGGGGAGGAGCGCCCACCGGGGAGGGTGTGGTGGGAAAGTTAACTTTTAGAAGTTGACCTTTAAAAGTTAGCTTTTAAATCCATGGGGTATATATATCCCATCAAAATTCAATTTTGAGAGAAGCTTCGTAAACTCAATCTTGAACCTGGTTGAAAACAGCAATTTCCATCACAAATTTAATGAGAAAGAACCCATCCGAAAAAAAAATGTCACCTCCCAAAACAAACAGGCCATCAAAGGCAGCTCTGTCCAGAATTTTCCGAGGATTTCAATCTGAAGCAGAACCTCATGTTATGAAAATTATCTGGACAAGTGGGAATAGCCAAACGAACGGCGTGAGCGAGCTTCACAAAGTGAATCAGAAAATAGAAGCATGGAATAAAGAGCATAACATTTGGGCTGCAGATGGTACCTTTGATATTGACGACTTTATATCCATCAATCGTGCGATTGAGTTGGCGATTAAAGAAAATGATCCTAAGGCATTTGACATTGCTAAGACACGCATGGACAATATTATTGAGCTGCGCAAATACCCAAGACGATGGCAACTTCGAAAGAAGGACTTCTTGAAAGCCGCTAAGGTCTATGACTCGGAGAAGGAATACTTCTATATCCCACTAAGCCATGACGGCGCTTCAACACATACTCGTGGGAAATCAAGGCCCAAAGGCGACAAGAGGCCTGGTACTCCAACACCCATCAGCAAAACAAAAGGAAAACAGAAAGTGATAGGCAGCTATCAAAGTGAGGAAGAGCCGAGTAGTGATGATGAGCTTGCCGCTTCAACATCCCCCAGCAAAATAAAAAGCAGACAGGAAGTGAAAGGCAAAGAGAAAAGCAAAAATCCACAAGGCGATGGCGAGCGAAGTAGTGGTGATGACCTTAGCACTCCGACACACAGCAAAACAAAAAGCAGGCAGGAAGTGAAAGGCAAAGAGAAACGAACAAATCCGCAAAGTGACGAAGAGAGAAGTAGTGATGATGAGCGGGGAGACGGCAATCATACTGATAACGAGCGCACCGGCGATGAACATTCCGACGACGAGAGTACTCAGAACGAGAGTATTGACAATGAGGGTTCTGACGATGAGAGGTCTGACAGCGAGAGGTCTGACAGCGAGAGATCTGACAGCGAGAGGTCTGACGACGAGAGTTCTGACAGCGAGAGGTCTGACGACGAGAGTTCGAATCAAGAGAGTCCCGATGACGAAGGAAGCAACGACCTGGCCACCCTACGAAGAAGAACAGGGAAAGCATTTGGCATCTCCCTCGATACAGGTGAGCCCGTAGCCTGGTACGGCCAGGGGGCCAAAGGTGTTAGACTTCTCGTCAATCTTACCGCCCCAAATGGGGCTAGAACTGGAAGAATTGTTAGCGGGAGAGGCTATAACTTCGATAAAAAAGCTTTGCCTCACATTCCCACAGCCTCTAAGTTGCGTGAGAGAGACGGTGACACCCAAGTGCCGATGACCAGAGCTACTCAACACACCCGAGGAAGCCTGCGCTACGGGGAAGATGACATCAAAAAAGTGGGCCTTGTATATTGGCCAGTGGAGACCGAGTGGGAACACGATCCCACGGCTCCTTTACGACCAGTTAAAAAGGCCTGGTTTGTTCATACAGTGATGGCTGTAATGTTCAGAGGTAGTAACGAGTGGACATATGAATTCCGGGTGCATCTTCGTGCGGCATTCAGGGGGTCGGATAATAATATCGACAAAATGATTTATACCCAGGCACGACTGCAAGAACAAAAATATCAGCGTGGGATAGGTAATCCATGCAAGATTCCAGAGGCCCCAACGACAAACCCACACTGGAGGAACACCAATGCCAAAGGGGGGGCGTTATACTTACACCCAAGAGTGAACAATGGGGAACGGGCTCAGAAAGGTGAAGGGAAAAAGAGCAAGAGAACAGAGGAGGACGAGGAAGACGAAGAAGAAGGTGAGGAGGAGGAAGAGGAAGAGGAGGACCGCCGTCGCAGTAAGAGCAGGAGCACAGACCGCCGGAGCAAGAGCCGCCAAGTTGGGGAGGAAGAGGAAGAGGAAGAGGAGGACCGCCGTCGCAGTAAGAGCAGGAGCAAGAGCAAGAGCCGTCGGGACGAGGAGGAGGGCCAAGACCACCATCGCGGCAAGAGGAAGAGTAAAGATAGGGATCATCGGAGCAGGAGCCGGCAAATCGAAGAGGAAGAGCAACAGAGGCAGCGCCGTGGTAACAAGAAGAGTAAGAGCCGTCGAGAGGAGGAAGATCAACACCGCCGTCGGGGCAAGAGCAAGAGTCAGAGTCGCTCGGTATCGTTTACACCCTCTGTTTTCAGCGGTTCGGACACAGCATCGACCGCTCCAAGCTCACGTGAGCAATCCCCTCGGCGAGGCTCCCGAGCTTCGTCCTCAAAAAAATAGGGGTTCGCTCCATAATCTAAGTAGTAGCCAGAGTGGAAGTTCGGTGGTTGGGATTGGAGCAGATTGATACGTCGATTCTTGGGGATATTGTTGGTAGCTGTAGCTTGGAGAGCACAATTGGTAGTGGGCGAAAGTGAGTGGAGGAGAGGCAGACAACTGCCTGGGAGTAGCTTAGTTTTTGATAGTTATCTAGGACATTAATGATGTTGGCTCGTTCCATTTCTTCCGGATATTTATGAGAGATATATCCGAATCTTCCAACCCAGTTAGCATGTTTCAATGAAAAAACTAGGAATTAAATGGGTAAAATACGTTTTGTTTCACAGGTTTGCGGCACATAGGACAAGAGTAAGGCTTTGCTTTGTCAATTCTGCTTGACGGCATATGCTGACCAGCGCACCAGCGACAAAGAACCGCGTGGCCACAAGGAAGCACCACAGTGTCTATAAGTTGGCTTATGCAGACTTTGCACTCCAAGTTAACTATACTTCTGTTTCTTTAGGTTCCAGGCGTCCATCCTCTACGCAATCAAGCCCTTTGACTAGAGTAACAGGTTCAGCATTATTTCTGTTAAGAGGCTCCAGAAATCTTCTCCTGCGTTGCCCTTCCTCTGTAGAAAGAAACCCGTCAGTGTCATTAGGGGAGCGCACAAGGGCGCGGAGATAATGAAATTGAGCTTGCTGAACATAATTCTGAGGAGTATCCCCCAGAGTCCCTATATTTATCGCAGATGCAGGGTGATTATGTTGGCTGCTGTGGGGCTCAGACAAAGCCCAAGACCACGTGGAAGAGCTTAGAGGAGCAGACAAGGACGTCGTCAAGGCCATTAACAATCGCGATATGGCCAGGGGACAATTGGACACGGTGCTCCAGAATCAAGAGGACATTCTCGCCAGCATCACACAGGTGTTGGAAAGACTTCTGTCCGCAAACGATAGCCCTTAATTCCAGCTGTGTATACTTTACAATTTGACATAGCTGAAGTTTCAACAGCATCCGGAATTTCTAATTTTCCAGGATGCACTATTTCTTATTGGCACAAGCAAGGATGATTCTATTTTTGGGTAGCCAATCATTTCCTTTCGGTTCAATCAGGAACAAACGACGCAAACAGGGCCCTGCATCAGATAGAGAAGAGTAAATACAGGCCACCAACATATCCCAATTCATAATCATCGCCCTGGGTGATCGCGGGCTATAAAAATATATCTCCCTTGGTGATTGTCATCGGGTTAGGCAAACTGAAAGTGTCGCGACTTCCCCATGCGTCCTATGAGATATTAATAATCCGCCCACCGAACAAGGAGAAAGTAAAGCGTACATAAGACTAGCTGCTTGCAATGGCAAAATCGCACACACTCAGTTGTTCGAATTGTCATTTTCCTTTTCATAACCATGGCTCTGTTGAGATTCCATTTCATAGTCGCTTCGGTAGGCTCGGAGGCAATCGAGACAGTCACGTATTCTTTCCTTAATCATGGAGCTGACATCGTCGGCGGCCAAGAGCTCATCAAGCACTTCTTCTTCTTCCTCCATGTAACTTTCCCTAGCTATTCTGCCATCCACGACGAGGCGCTGAGCATATTCAAGTGTTATATAGGCGTCTCGAACTTTAGTGGCATCTTGCTCAGATATTTGTTCATAGAATTGGTCCTGTGTTTTCTCAAGGAGTTTTTTAATCGCCTTAAACTGTTCCACCTCGCCTATCATGCGCTCCACGACTGACAGATGACATGTGGCCATGCCAGACGGATCAGTGGTACGGCGGGTTATGGTTCCTGGTTTTGGCCACGGTTCGTGGCGTGAGGTTGGCGGTTCTGATATTACCCTGTAGAGGGATTTCAATTGCACCTTTCTTGCTCCGCAAGCAGCTTGGAAATCACGCATCTCTTTCTGAAGGTACTCTAAGCCTTGATGAAGCTTGGCATCTGATATACAGCAACACAATGCATGTATTTTCATGATCTGCATCGCATGTCCATAATCTCTCCAGAGGTCGGATACATGATGTCTGAACCTATGCAATTCCTGCTCCTCGACATCCATATCCAGAGCGCACGATGTAAAACCGCTCAACTTTTCAAACAGCGAATCTAACCCGCGGAATGCTGGGAAAAGGCTTGAAAGATATTTTTGTATGTCATCAACTTTCTCGGTGTTGCGAGAGCGCCGAATAGTTTCTTCCAGGTTGGTAATATTTTGTTCAACATCCTGTCTCGTTCGGATTAACGCGATATAGACGTCAGCAAGCCATCTCACTTGGGGTAACGGGCCCTCGAGAGATTCCTGAACAAGGTAAGTATTAAGAACAACAAATTTAGAGTACTTAACTTACCATGATGGAAAGACAACTTGAAGCTGATGAGATGTTCTTTGTGGAAGTCTTGACTTCTTCGTGGTCCTGTGAGGCTCCTGTGGAGAATGAATTGTATTTTGCTATATGAGTGTGGATGAACATGGCTATTCTTATAGCTGCTCGGAGCCTGTTTTTCACAGATGTGGATGGCCAGCCTGGGACAAGGCAACGGGCGAGCGTGCCAGAGGAACACATTTAGCTCGATTTGGTTGTTGCAGGGGCTACATCGGGGCATGCAAGCGACAGGGGCCGCCACCAGTTGCAATGGAAGCCCATCCCCCGATGCCAGCGGTGTGTAGTTTCCCGGGTCAACAATAAGGCCCAAAAATGAGGGTGCAAGCGCGTAACAAATAAGATACAGCCAAACCCGGACTGTTTTATCCAAAGCAAAGAATTCGTGGCACAGCAACTGCAGCTGGATCACACTGGTAGTCTCTCAATCATTGGTCTGGTTGAGTTTAGCAATCTGGCAAATTATGGGGGAAGATACTGTTTTTGCAGCCCAAACCACACACTACCAAACCCGGAATCCTTTTAGAACCTATATTTTAAAATCTCTTTCTGCTGGGGCCAGTGCCTGGTGCACGCCTGGCGCATGCGCATAACAAGGCAGCCGAGTTCATGCAGGCCTAAATGACAAGCTCCCTCCTCATGCTTGGTGGAGGGGAATCTTCCGTCGGGATATGCACTCGTACAAGCCACGAGTTGCAATTGATTCTGATGATTGTCAAATAAGCGAGAGACCAAAATTTGGCTTGATACTTGGTGCAGGGGGCAGGGTATGGAAGCCCATCCGCCGATGCCAGCAGTGCATCGTTTCCCGGGTCAATAATAAGGCGCCGGTACCAAAACTGCGCATGCTTGCTCCAAGGGCCATCTTCCATCGAAATATGCAGCAAGGCGGTTATTGTGACCCGTACAAGCCATGCGAGCCCATCCCTTGATTCTAGCCGTGTATAGTTTCCCAGATCAGCAATAAGGTGCCAAGAATATATTCGATAAATATCACACTTGGGAGTTTATAAGTATATTTAGATCTGACTGTCAAAGTTCAGGTTCAAGCCATTATGTGGTCTTATAGAAGTGTAAAATCAGATAGCTTCCTACAGAATTCATCCAGCGCCCGGAATTTCTAATTTTCCGGCAAAAGCAAGGACGTTCTATTTTTGAGTAACCAATCATTTTGCTTTGATTTAACAAAGTACAACCAGGAACAAACTGTATAAAAGAAAATCAAACAGGCATCAGATAGTATATACAGTCATATCGTTATCCTTCGGGAACAATGCGGCCAGACACGATGTTTTGGCTTCTTTCCCTGTTCTGGAGCGCCGTTCCGGATGGTTCAGCTACTTGCAATATATCTCGGAACGGTGATTGTGGGTCTTCAGGCTTGCGTCTTTTTGAAGGATAACCCGTATTATGGTAAGTCGCAAGTTGGTCCCGTCCAGTGCTGGGGCTAGTTGGCGGTCCAAAATTGGAATTTTTACGCTCTATCCATTGATTAGCCATGTTGAGACAAGGAGTTGGAAGGGAGATTAATCTCTTGACGCTGAGAGATTTTGTCTGAGTACCCTGTCAGTGAAGAAAATATTGGGAAATGGGGGTGAACACATACCACGAAGAATCTTAAACTCTCTACACATCGGCCTCTCTTTTCCGAACGTATCCATGATATCCAAAATCTCACATGGCCAATTCACCCCTACTTCTTTCTCCGCATCCTTCTTCAACATCTCTATCAGGCCGTCAAATACTTCCACCCTTGATATCGCCCACACTACAGTAGGATAGCTCGTTGATAGGGTGATAACAGCGTCGGGATGACTTTCGCATAGCCCATGAACTGTTTGAATTCTCACAGCAGTCGATTTCTTTGAATATTTTGTTCTTTTGCTGTATTTTTCTGAGTATTTTGGCGGCCCAAACACTAGCATGAAGTTTGCCTTTACAGTCCGTAATGTATCTAGCTCATGATCTTGTAAGATCTTCTTCTTTCTTGCATTCCCTTGCGTGCTAAGCTCGCGAATTGTGACCTGGAGGTGTTCTTGGCAGGCATTTGCCGCAGTTTGTGCATCTTGTCGAATCTTTGTTACGGCATCGATCAACTTTTGGGTCAGCTGGGTGATTTGTTCAGCTTGGCTCTTTGCAAGGTCTGAGCCTTTTGCAAATGTGACGCACATGACATCAAACCTATCGGCCTGATCTGCCATGGCTCGGATGACGTGCTCGCAATGGATTTTCATTCCGATGTTCCGTAAAATCTAGAGTATAAGGCAAGCAAAAGAGATTTAATTTGGAAATAAAAATCATTGTTGGGGGAGGGGATATCTTCCCCTTTAAAGTTGGAGGAAGCGGCATTGGCCGCCCACTTCTGGAAGCTCATCATTACCTCCCCCGGTACATACCACAGTAAGGCGCCGGTGCCAAAATTGCAAACGAATGCAGGGTGTGGGATCAGAGCATCCAAGCACTCGGACTGCCCAAAACAAAGAATTCGTGGCACAGCAACTGCAGCTGGATAGTAGTCAATCATTGGTCTAGTTGAATTTAGCAATCAGGCAAATTATGAGGGAGATACTTTTTTTTGCAGCCCAAATCACTACCAAACCCGGAATACTTTTAGAGCCTATATTTCTAAAATCTCTCTCTGCCGGAGCCAGGCCAGGGCGCATGCACATAACAAGGGAGCTGAGTTCATTCAGACCTAAATGACAACATCCCTCTCATGCTTGGTGCAGGAGAATCTTCTGTTGGGATAAGCACCCATGCAAGCCATGAGTTGCAATTGATTCTAGAGGTGCATGCATGTAACAGGGCGCATGTGAATAACAACACAAAAGGCCATACTGCTACGGGAGCAACTTCCTCCCCTGTAACAAGTGTGGATGGCCGAGGCAAGGGGCTAGTGACAATTGTCAAGCAAGAGACAAAAATTTGGCTTGATACTTGGTACAAGGGACAGAGTATGGAATCCCATCCCCCAATTCCAGCAGTGCATCATTTCCCAAAAATAAGGCACCGGTGCCATGGGCCCCGTCGGGATATAGACCCGTACAAGTCACCAGTTGCAAATCGCAGTCCCTTGTTCCAGCTGTGTATAGCAATAAGGCGCCGGTGCCAAAACTATGCATCTGTGGGATCAAAGTGTCGAAGCATGGATAGCTGAGGAACAAGCCCCTGCTGCACAGCAGAGTTTCCCGGGATATATTTGATAAATATCACACGGGAGAGTTTATAGACATATTTAGATTTGACTGTCAAAGTTCAGGGTTGAGCTCTCTGCATCCGGAATTTCTAATTTTCCGGATGTTCTATTTTTGAGTAGCCAATCAATTTCCCTTGATTTATATCAGGCCACCAGCATGTCTCAAACCATACTCATTCTGAAACTCCCACTTTGAGCTCCGCAAAGGAAGGGAACAGAAATGTCTTTTTCGGTCAGTTGCCGCAGCTGCTTTGGCGATTGTCGTTGGTTTGGGCAAATTGAAAAGCCTCGCGATTTCCCCACGCGTCCTATGAAATATTAATAACCTGCCACCGAACAAAGAGAAGATGATCTGTACCTCGCGAAGACTGAATAAAGCGTACATCTTGATGAAGCAATGGACATAACCAAAGAGGGCCGAGACCGGGAATAAGAGGCAATCTAATGGTCGCCGGCGATAGTGGCCAGAAAGCTTGATGAGCTTGGTGAAAATCATCCAAATAAGAAGCACCCCCAACGACCAAGAGTGTAGTGTGGGATTCGACATGGTCATCGTGTGGCATAACCAGATTAGGCAGGTGTCAGTTAAGAGAGCTAATTGCGATATGGTTGTGAGAAACACTGCATAAGTGCTCCATGGATGCCTCCTGAGATATTCATCAGCATTTGACGATTGGAGGGAAGAGAGAATCTCACCACCAGACAGCCCGGTCAATGAACAAGCTGCGCAGATTACTTCGCCAGTTGCTTCTGGACCATCGCACACATTGTTTGAGGAACTTCGGACTCTCCTCTAGCGTCGTGAGAACCTCGGCATTGGGATGGGATTGGAAGTAGGTTTTGTATCTGTGAGTGACCACCCAGCGTGTCAGAAAGTTGTCATCATCTGCGTTGAGCAATTTGCCAAACCAGGCCTCCTTGACAAAAGCTTTCTTGCAAGATTGAAGGATCTTTGCGCGATAGGCAACCGTTCGGCCGGAGAGGCAGGGAACACCTCCATCCATATAAGTGGTTGCAGTGCAGTCGAAGTTTCTTCGCTCTAGATACAATGCGCCCAGGAACCACCAGATGTACTGGGAGATCCTTGGGTTGTTAGGTGCCTGCACACGCTGGCATGTGGCCACACCTCCCATGAGAGGATCCTTAAACGGAGCAAGAATCCATCGCACAAGGCATGGAGGCCACAGAACGTCGCCATCTGCAAGGATAACAATATCTGTGCGAACCCTCGTAAGTGCGATTGCAATCTGATGACTTTTCTTTGGTCTAGGAACACTTGTCACTTCCACTTTGGATCTGTGATTCTGCATTGATGTTGCTATCAACTCAGCTTTCTGTCGATTTTCATCAATGGTTGACAGTATGATCTGTTGAGGGTCATTCTTCAGAATTGACTCCAGAGTGTTAACCAACTGTTCTCCCGAGCCTTCTAGGGTAGGTACGATAACTGCAACGTTGTTGGCAGTTAAAGACAGGTCATGACCCGGTGGATGGATTGGTTTGTACCGGGCAAATGCGATCAGATTTCCGACAAGGCGAATGTATCGATAAGCTCTTTGACATCCATTAGCAAGAGTGACCATCAAGGATGTAGGGAAGCAGAACGAACAACAGCAGGCAGAATTTCACTGCTGAAGAATAACTCCGGGTGTCCAAATCCATGAAAGAGGAGGGATGGAAGAATTTCCGTGAAAGAATCAGATCAGAGGTCAGTCAGAAAAGCAGGCCCAAAGGCATATCTTTATACTTCGCTGCCCTATGAGATATCCCAATCGCGTCTCCGTACAGCTTGCGCAGGATCAATATTGCCATTATATAATGGACACTACCGACTAGAGATATGGGAGATTATATTGGGATCCTAGGACAGAGATATGTTATGCATGCAATTCAATCCATGCCCCGGAATTTCGCATGCCGGCTAGTGTTGTGTCCGATGTATGGGCAGTAACGCGGGATGTCGGTGGCATCCTAGAGGTTGTAGGTGGGCGCGAGGCCTCTCTTCATGAAGTTTAGCATACGATACATCTAGCTCTATTTCCTGGATGTCCACATTTATCTGAGTCCCAGTTTGCTAATGGTCTAAAGTGCGCCATCTGAGATTTCCGCAAAGAACTAGAAGGTAATTGATAAGTCCAAATGTGCATTCTCTACTCTTCCACTTTCAGCTTTTGCCCATATATCACATATAATTCGCGGTATATGTGAAGTTCCTCTCTTTTTAGATCATTTCTCACCAGAGCCAGACATACTTGCAACTCATCTGTTGACCACTGAAGACCCTGAGTAAAAACCAGGAGTGAAAATGCTTCCAGTCCACTCAGAATATCTACAAGAGCAAAATTGCCCAATCGCTTCAGTTTATTGCCTTCTTGCCATGGCCCTATCGGAATCTACTTCATTTTAGTCCTGGGTCTTCATCGGATGTACGAAGCTTGACATACCTTAAATTTTTGAATTTTGATATTGACAAAGCCAGCGTTTTCCATCCCCTGTGTGCAGATAGTTGCTCCGCAGAAAGGCTTTCTCAGTTTATTTCGGCCCTCTATGATACGCTGTTGCCATTCATGTGCGTGTACGGCTTTTTTATGCGTCCCATCATCTGAGAGGAAGCCGTGCTCAAGTGATTTGAGCTCAAAGTATCCACCGGGTTTTAAATGATTAAAAGCTTCTCTGCACAGTTTTCCACAGTCGGAGATTGAACCATCCAACTCCCGTCCATGGATGAAATCGAATTTGTATGGCAATTGCCATTCCTCAAAGTTGTCAATCTCAAAAGCGCAATTTGTCGGAACACTGGAATCAACCATAAGCCAGGGTATATTTTGTAGGGTGGGTACACTTCTTACAAGAAAGGTTGGATTGGGCTCAAATCATTTCCTCGAACCACCGCACTGGGATATTTGCTGCCGTGGTGATTAGCCAGACTCAAAGCAATATCCATGGACACCGGCTTCTGATTTACGCACTCAGCACATTCTACTGCCCAGATACCTGTTCCCGTTCCCATATCAAGAATATGCTGAGGGCTTTCACTTATGGGAGCGAGAAATAATTCACCCAAGGCGTCTTTGTATATCTGGTGCACCTGTGTCCTGGTCAGATTTTATGCAATGAGTATTGAGTGTAATCATTTACCATGTCCATCCGATCCTTCTCAGGCTCATCATTCGGCTATCAACCATTTAGTAAACATGTTTCTCCACCGTACAAAGGGAGCACTCACCAAAAGGTACATCCCCTCATGAAATGCATGATATGTTCGGCCGTACTGGTTATTTAGCTTGTGCGAGTCAAGTCTGTTCGGGGTTTTCTTACCAGATTTCTGAGATTGTTAGCTGGGATAAGCATTTTTGATTTGAAACAGGGTCCTTACGGATAATCGGTGACGCTTGGTGTGAGAGGAATTAAGTCCCCTTCCCCCAATTCAGAGTGGTAGTCACTGGTACTGCCCACCTCCGCCCCTTCCTCCTCTTCCTCTTCGTCCTCCTCTTCCTCTTCGTCCTCCTCGTCCCCTTCCCCATCTTCCTCTTCGTCCTCTTCCTCGTCTTTCTCCGTCTCTACCACATGGGAATGGTCCGTGGAAGGTAATATTTCTCCTGCTGTCCTAGGTCGACTAGGTAGTTTGACGGCCATACCGAAGAAAGGGAGGGACAATGAACATGGCTTTCAATGCTGTCCATGTTCGGGGGACGGCTTCCCCCTATATGTATACCACACTATGGGGAATTTAGCACTAGAAACATCGTTTGTTCATAGATAGCGACGACAACAACAGGTCTAGACTTTGGAACTGAGGAAAATAATCTTAGCGGCTTCGTTAACTCAAATTTGGTCACATAATGCTAATAATCCAATCAGTTAAAAAAGAATGAGTGAAAATTGTACCGGAAGGTATGCATTTTTAGCGTCGTTATTTCAAAACAGATTGGAAATAATGGCCTGCTTCTAGAGCGCTGATGATGTCCTCTGCTGTGACTGTCGCGGGTATACCAACTTGATGGTTTTGCACAGTACGCCCTCCACGCTTCCCGTTGATGTATGGCCCTTCACCAACTTAAACCAATATTTGCATGCCCATCAATTGGCTTACGTACGGTACCAGTCATTTACATGCATCAGTAGCATTTCCGCCAAGCAACGACCTAATAGTCTGCCACAGGATTTTATCTCTGTGCATCAATATATCATACATGTGAAATTTAAACTGTATTTGCCCATCTCAGTCATTTCTCACTACAGATGTGCTATGTGGCATCTTCAAGGTTCCATTTCCTAGCTAAGCAAGCCACCAACCACCAATGAATATCACGCAGGAAATGACGCAAAAGTTCACTCCTTTGTAGGGAAATGCTTCTGAGCTTCCATAACAGCACGATTAGGATCACTATGTTTCCATAGATAGTTCTGGATATCCGCCGGGCTATACTGGCAATCGGGAACTTGATTGGCGAACTCAGCAGCCATGTCTGCAAGATTGGTATGGCCTTCGTGGGCGTACATATGTTGGAAAATCGATTTTATTTGCTACTTTGCCGCCAGTGTAAATTTCACTTCCCTGTCCACGCGTCCCGGGCGGATAAGGGCCGCATCAAGTTGATCTCGGCAGTTTGTGGTCATGACCAAGATTCTCCCGTCGGATGATGAGACGCCGTCGATCGCGTTCAAGAGGCCGGAGAGTGATACTTGGTTGTTTTGCCTCGCGCCGTCCTCCTGTATGGCTCGCATTTTCTCACGGTTGATTCCGGCACTGTCGATATCCTCAATGAGGAGGACACAATGACGTGGTAGATGGCTACAGAGCCACTGGAGTTCTTCATCAGTCATGTTTTGGCCTGTCAAGCTCAACATGTAAATATCCAGACCATATTTGCCTGCCAAAGCTTGCACAAGGCTAGTTTTCCCAGTCCCAGGGGGTCCACTAAATAGGTAACCTCGGCGGTATGGTCTTTCTGTTTTCGCATATACTCGCTGAGCCTTCAAGAACTTGCACATGTCATTGCAAACTTCTTCCTTTTGTCCCTCTGCCAGGGAGATACTTTCAAGCGACCGACGGCGGGTGCTTTTGACAGGTTGCCATGGTATCTTAGTCCGACGGGCACGCTCCCCTTCTGGGCTGAAAATTGTAATGTGGGATTTGTTCTTGGAGGTGTGAAGTGACCTGGCTTTTGCAAGTAATCTTTCAATTGGCTTGCAGGACCAGCCTAAAACTCGCATGGTGTAGCACTCCTCAGAGTGAAACTCAAAGCTTCTTTCTGTCCGTTGAAACTGAAATATTGAGCCTCTGAATAGGAACAAACAAGTTTTGTTGGGTCGAAATCGATAATGCCGCAATGCTCCAATGGTTTTCCAGTCCCACTCTGTCTTCTCGGGCGCGTCCTCTTCACTCCATTCCTCACTTCTAACCCTCCGAGACAGGCACCCAGTAACCCAGGATTCAAGAAAGGTGGTTAGATGTTCGTGCTCCTCACTGCGCGGTTCAATTTGTACTTCCACGGCACAGAATTTCCAGATTCCATCATATACCCAGATGCAGACATAAACAAATGCACATCCGACAATCAGGATATTGGACAGAAGGCCCAGGTTGGGAGCTCCGTGGAATGTGTCAATAAATATGGATCCAGGGAATATGGTATTCAAAAGAGAATCAACGAGGCTTGATGCCTGGTCCATGATAAACATTCGACTCCTTCAATGTCATCAATTGCGAACTGGTAGAGCTCGGTTTGGCTGTCATATCTATCTGTTAGCAACGATTAAAAACAAGGTGGGGAAACATACCGTCCAGGAGATGTTGGTGTACAGATGCTTGAAGTGTCTTTCACATCCTCATTGCTGGGCACATCTAATGGTGTAGAATTTGGGTTGTGGCCCAACCAGCTCAAAAAGCTGAGTGCCTGCTGCGCCATGATCAATAGTCTCTCGAAAGCTACCCAAACAACCTTCTACACAGTCAGCAACTCGACATGGTAGAGGAATGAGATATCAACCAACTTTGTGCTAGACAATAAAGGCAAAAGACCAGTCCCTTCGTATGCAGCAGCAGGAGCTAATTTCCATCTTCTTGATCAACCGAGCAGGCTGCAAAGACCTGGGCCAGCCCGGACTGAAATAAGGCAACGAGCGAACGGTGAAGCATCTCTTATAGTCAAAAGCAGTGAGGTGCAAAGTTCGGATACTGCTGCATGAGGTGGCTCGGACTCAAGCTAGGCACGTATATCGCACTCGCTCCTCCCAGGGTCGACGCATGTTTCCCTGTGCCCTCGACAGAGTCCAACTCCTGGTTGCATTTGCCATACTCCTTAGCCACCATCCCCGCAATAGCTTAGGTGAATGTCATTGGCAAAAGGAGTTCCATGATGAAATTGACTTGACCGGTGAAATACAACGACGTGCACCCGATGGACATGCTCGGGGCACGCTAACCCGATTCACTGAAATCACGTAAATTTACGTGATTTCAGTGAATCGGGTTAGCGTGCCCCGATCCATTGTTTCTGCTTCCCACCTTCCTTTCCCTTCCACCATCCACAACCCGTGAAAGATGGCCCATCAAATTAGCTGTAGGCTTAGACGAGTTGCAGATGAAATTGATATTTTTGTCACTATACATGGAGATCGTCCTATTGAGAAACTTTTAGATGATGGAAAGGTAAAACGTCCCGTTTTTGAGTGAAAGTAGCAGTCAACGCTAACAGAACAGTTTGCCGATTCTCTCCTCGAATTATCAGAAAATCTGCCGGAAGGGTGGAAGAAAATCCTCAGAGCCGGGGAGTGTAGAAATCCTCTGAGGACTTCTCTCAAGGGAGGAGGAAATACTAAAGGTTGTGCCGAATTCAGCGAGAGCGTCAGAGGGATTATATGGAAATGGTTAGGGTTACCCGGAGCGGTTTATAACAATTGGTGATGACAACAGCATAGCACTTGTTGCCGTTGCTCCCTTTGATCCTATTGTCCACCTTATGCTCAAAATAGACGACGAAATTATTCTCAATGAGGTACGCTGGCGGGTGGGCTCCATGTTCATGGCGGATCTTGCTGCCAGGTTCAATGCGGAAGCTCCTGAGATCGCGGAGATACTCATTCAATCTAACCTTCTCTCGCCTGAGTATCGTGAGGCTTTGAGCTCACATTTACCGGCTTGGGTATCTGCAGGCTCCAAATACAACATAATCGCTCGAAAGCTGGGGGGGAAAGGCAGTGTAGTTTACCTTCCGTACCTTGGTCGGACAATGTTGGTACCGTCCATCCTGCATCACAAAGCTTTCATTGACTGGCTGCACTCCAGGTATGAGACCCACTACCGCCCCACGGGTATTGATGCGACTGCTATAATCCATCTGCTTCAAGATGCGCCTCGTGCGGCTTCGGTCGAGTGGGAAGGCAGGACTGCCCATGATGTTATCGGCTCCGTTTTCAAACATTTGTGGTCGAAAATTCCTTCAACGGTGATTATACCACATAACAATGTGCAATCCGGAGCAAAACGAAAGAAATGCCAGACTAAACAACCAAGAGTTCGAAAGCGAAAGAATGGAGGGGCGCAGAATCCAATGAATCAACGCCCAAGTCCTACAGGCAACGATTCCGACTCTCCTGCGGTGGAAGCAGCGCGGGTGGAGGGAAACGCAAGGGCTACTTGCTTATTAAGGACATCCAGTCAACCAATCATCGACGCTCGCGTGACACTACCGACAGCATTCGGACAAATCTTTATGCCCCAGGCGCAAGACACTAATACAGGTTGTACAGATGGTATTCCATCACGGTCTCGGCAGCCGGCTAGGTTAAACATACTAGCAGAAACCGCAAGTTCCAGACTTTACTCCGAAGGTTAGTATTAAAGATATCATATACAGATATAATTGCTGAAGCGTAAATAGCACATACGCGAAACTCAGATTCGGAAACGACAAAAATAGCCAGCCAAAATCGGTGGTGTGATCCGCACGTCGCCCAGGACTTTACAAACGATGACGGAGCAACTTTGCGGGATTCCTCACCACCAGTCGCAATGGCAGATGATGGGACATACGCCAGTTTTTATGAGCATGACCCTGTGCTCTTTACTACCAATAATTGCGATCCCGTCTTTTTTGCAATTGATCCTGTATTTAGCAATTTCTGATTTGGAATTGAATGGACTGCATATGAGCAATTGCTTTATGTTATCATATAGAATATTCTAATCTCCATGGTGCCTCTTTCACGTAGGCGGGAATAGCCTCATGAAAACCCCGACACCCCCCCCTGCCTGTGGATATTGTATTGTTAAATCGGCGGAGAGAATCAATATCTGGTTGGGTTGAAGACGGATCGGGGTAGGTTCGATGTGACGATATTGGCCCCTTGTCATTGTATGGGAACCTTCCACGATGCGAAAGAGGCCATTACCCTCATGGAGCTCTTCGGTGGTTGCCGGGCAGAATATGTGGACTGTACCACGGAGCCCGGCGGGATAACGTGGCAGTTGGTTTTTGTTTTCTAGCCAGAATACAACCTCCACCTTCGATTTATTTGCTTCGTCAAAAGAACAGCCGAGGGCATCTTGGAAGAAGGGTTCGAACTTGATGTTTGAAAACTTGTTGAGGTCAGCTTGGGGCCATCGCGGCTACAGTCAACACTTACATTGATCCCATGATGTAACAATGCTTCACCAGCATCTCCCCCATCGACCCTTCGAGCGCCCACTTCATCCACGATCCGTCGCATTTCTTGAAATTTTGCCTTCCCAATGTAACTCTCTACCGCTGCGAAAAGCTCCTCTGGTGGCGACTGTTCATTTTCTCGTTTGACTATGATGTAACCCCGGGGATTGGCCATGAGTGTCTTCTGTTCCATTTTCGTTCGCTTTGGAGAAATGATTCTACCTTCACTTGTTTGACGCTTCGACATTTTACCCCTCACTTAAGTGGCATTTGCATAAATTTTTTCGGATCAATATTTTCCCGGGCATTTCTTGGTGCCAAAGGAGAAAATGAACAACACTTTCTAAATGTGCTGAGGCGCCTCCCTGTTTATATACGGGGACTATTTCGATATGGGCGGCTTATCAAGAAAAGTCCACCTCCGTCATCTAGTGGAATAGAGTAAAGTAGAGATCATAATATGGGAAGTGCATGAACCACGTCGCCTGTCAAAATGTGGAGTAGTCTTCAGCCTGGCTGAAAGGTTATTGTTTCTTAATTACTGGACAGATTTACGCTTGGCGACCATGGATCGACGATCCAGTCATAGTAGAAACAGTGAGCGAAACACAGAGTGAATTCCTAACATGATATAGAAAATAGACCAACATGATTAAAATCGGTCATTAATCACCCCACACGGCTACTTCAGACACAACCCACTTCACCACGGGATCGAAATCAATTTCATTATCCGCAAATACAGGGTCTTGATGCAGGCTCTTTGGCTTGGTATCAACATTGTTCGTAAGGCGTTCGACGCCCCCACCTGCATACCCTATTAGCAATCAAGTCTTGGTAAGAGTTGAGATGGCTCCTACCTTGGTCTTTCTGGAGTACAGTCTGATCCCCTTTGGTTAACCGTTCCTTGCCGTGGCTAATGGTGGTCAGTAAGGAAAAATACAGGAGTTGTCCTATAAGCATACTCTTCAGGAGCATTTAGAGCTTGCCCCTTGTTCCCAATTTCCGTGGTCTCGTGGTTAGGGGTAATTGGTGTTTTCGAGGGCCTGGCGACGCTGGTGACTCTAGGCATGGACATCGCGATGAACAAGACGACGTGACAGCGTGTAAAGGCTTGCAAATATTGATGGAAGGCTAGCTTTGCAGGATCTGAACACCCGTGCATGCCTCAGGGTTCGGAGGGAAACTTTGCCGCCTTATATGTTGTTGTGTGGCACACGCGCGCACCGAGTCAAATTGGACCATCTCCCTGGATATCTGACAGGATATGCTTTCCCGTCTGCGTCGCGGCTCTGCAGGAGCTCTACAGGATCTCATGATGGAAGTGTGGCGTCGGATGGTTTGCAAAGCTTGGGTGACCTTTGTGAGGAGAAAAGGGAAGATCGAGCGAGGGAAACAAAGTGGGAGGAGGGCTGGCTTTATATGCCTTCGGACCTACGCTGCCTTTCTCCCCCAACAAGACAAATTGGGAGCAACCGCAAATAGGCCGCACCATGTATGGGATTTGTTGGCTAATGAAATAGGGACTGGTTTAGGGATCGTCTTCCACGCTTCCTGTTGATGTGCATCTAGAAATGGGGTTTACAAGATAATTAACTTTCATTTATCGAACTGTTCTGTACGGAAAACGCAAAGGTACAGATAATCAAACGCGATTCGTACGATTCAAGCGATGTTTACAAAATTTGACCAACTTCTATCACTGATTGAGCTACGGTATAAAATCAGCCAAGGCGGATCTTGCGCCTGATAGAAGGCGAACTCATCAAGATTCAGCATTAAAGCGGCGTTATCATCAGATACAATTTGCCGACAGAGAAACGTGAAGTAGAAAGATAGAATATCCATCCTAGTCCACCTCGCGAGAACGCCAACTCGGAGTTAACATCTCGCTCGACAAAACACGAGAGGGCCTCCCAGATTGACCATTAACATCAAACTTTCCATTATACAAGCATAAAACCGAGACGCAAGAATGCATCGGGTCGGCTAGACTTCCGCGGTGGATCAAGCATTCTGAGCCTGGGAACTCTCCGCAAGATCCTCGAAAGAGTCAGTGGGGTTGGCAACTGCGTGTGCCCTGACATAATTCTCCGGTTTTCCCCTTTCATTGCGGGCTTTAGCAACCCAGCTGTCCGCATCAGCCAATGCGTCGGTAGGTGACGGCTTGCGTTCACCCCAGGCATACTGTGCTGCATCAACAACCGGCGTGCCTGACTGCTCCATGTTTTCTTTGCTAGTTTTAGGTGTTCTCATCTCGGAACATTCTTTCATCGCAGGATCGAAACCAACGTTCTCGTTATCCATAAATATGGGATCACATTCCATCCAAGTGGGTGGTATGTCTGACATATATTTATCCATAAGCACGGGCAATTCTGATTCGGGGTTGCGTGAGAAGGATATCTCCTGCCCTTGCGGCTTCAGCTTAGAAGCATTATTCAACACAGTCTCTGAACACATGTCAGCGTATGCTCCCAGTTTCCAGTTGAGATATCAATTACCTCCATCTTGCTCAGGGCTGGCACACCCACCTGCAGTGTCTTCCGAGGGATTGGATTTGGAGGTGGTGGAATCCGCCCTGGCTTCGCGAAGAGCTTCTACGAGTTCTTTCGCATCGGAATGCTGATACCCATCTCCTGTTGTCACGCTCTGCTGGAGACTTTCATCGATGGGGTTGCATGGAGGCGTTTGGGCCGGTGGAGTATTGGCAGGGGCCTTGTCGTTGAGCTTCATTGCTTGAGGCATTGTGGTAGTTGGTGGATAAAGAAGTCTTGGAAACTGGGTCTGGGGAACTGGCTTGGTGAGGTCTGTGAATGTCTTGAATGTCTGTTCATTGCCTCAGGATTTTGGGGGAAACTGTGCCTCCTTATATGCCATTCTGTCGACACTCCTGGCTCCTATTCTTTTGTTGTCTCCCCCTTCAACTTGGGCCACGTGGATACGGGAGGAGCTTACCGTCGCTCTCCCAAATTTAGGGTGTATAAAACTGTGCCGCAGGATACATGGTCTCGACCTTGTCGATGCGATATGACAACCCGCTGGGGAAAGCTTGCCGTCTTCTGCTCTGCATAGCGAATCAACGACTCGGACTCGATCTCGTCGGACTTTTGTCGATCTGAGAACTAGCCGTGTCGAACTGTCTGCGGCACATCTCGCCGTACCAGAGGTTGCCCTGGATATCAGAGATGCTATCAGCCCATGATGGACAATTATCGCTTCCGTTTGGCGGTCCGATTGGCCAACAGCTCAGGAAAATGAAATCTAGATGCCAAGTTCGTTGTCCCTGAACCCGTGCAGCTGGAGCAATCGATTAGAGAGAGTTGTTGAAGGGCAAAATTGTGGCTTGCAGTATCATTATAACTCGCCCCTTGTCAAAGTGGTAGTCAATGAAAGGTGGCTGGCGATCTGCCGCTCGATGCTACAAATTCGCTGATTGATGAGGCGCCAAAGGACGGAGGAAGATATTGCCTTTACAACTGTTACTAACTTATTTCAACTATTATTTTCCCGATAAAACCTTTTCCAACTTTTACAAATTATTTTTAACTACCTATAGGAATTTTAAACTTGTTCAGTGAATCTATCATGACAGAATGTGGCAGGGTTAGCAACAAGACAGCCATTGCTTTATTCAAATTCAAATGATTTACGCACTAGTGGAAGCATGGGGTGATTTGACTTAATGAAGGCTGCGTGGTAGGAACACTCAGTTTATAACTCTATTAACAAGAAGGCACTTTCATGAAAATCTTTGAATTTGATGAGCATAGATTTTTTGCTTCTCACGCCGAATTGTCTGCCCCTGAAAACCTGCCTCCAGGCGAATGGGAGCTGTCTTGAAGAGTAATGCGGGAAATGGCGCGGCCTGGAAATTTAGCTGGTCAGAAAGGTGTTGGCTGTTCTCTGCCAAGTCAACGTGACCTCAAAAGCCTAGCTAGCTCTCTAAATGATCAATTGTCTTCGCGCACTCTACGAAATTTGGGTCCTGGGGTTTCCCTGCTGCAAGCGATCAGTGGCTATATTAAAGTCTCATACTATTGCGGATTTTCCCCTCATGTTTACAACATCAGATGGTCAACCCCCAAGAATCTAATGTATTATATGGACGCTTCGCGCTAATCCCAGACCTACTTTTCGGTTATCTCCCCAAGAATGGCATCAAAGGACCGGGTCGCCTCAGCGATGATGTGCAGCCCAACGCAGCACTATTGATCAGAACTGGGCTGGCAGTGGCACGGCCAATGCCAAGCATACTAGCGTGCTTTTGCGACCAGCCTTCGCCAGATGCATTGATGCCTAATAGACTTCTGTTGGGGGCGCTGCAGCCACAATACATTCCACCCTTAATCGACCCCACGTCGTGCTATTCTCGTCAACTCTTCTAACTCTGACTCGTATATGCAATATCTTCGCCTTCCATTTTTCCCGACCATGACAGTATTATCTGTTCCTGACACAAGTAAGACCTCCTTCTACCCCGCTCCTTACGAAAATATTTTCACTTCATCTGACTCGTGGCCAGCAAGCACCTTATCTCTCATTGTATCTGCTCCCTTTACATCGCTCCAACTGTTGATCGCGAATCCCAGGACCTTGGTCAAAGCATGGCTGACAATAAACCGTTGAAGACTTATCACGCATATAGGAGCTCAGATTTCAAAACTTCCCGGTACGTTCTTGCTGCTAATCTACGTTGTCTCTACGCTCCTACTGTCATTGATGCAACTCGCTAACGCATTTCATAGTCTACAACTTTTCGGTTTCGCGCCGGTATTAGCCATCCGTTGACACTCAGTCTGATTTAACGGAAATTTCAGCACTGTTCAGCCGGGTGGTAAAGGCTTCAGTTATGAGTAAAGATATTACAAAAATCAGGATGAAATCCTCTACCGATGATAATCTCTTGGAGGAAATCAAGAAAGTACATATTCAAGCTAAGGAAACTAGAAACAGGAAATGACATGAAGTACTGAGTTTTCCCAAGAAAGGTTGCGATGATTGCGATTCGATAACGTGGACTGACCTTCCGAAGGCGACCCGAATTGATCCTCCACAGAATTCTGTTGCAGTTGTTGTCGACGTTGTCGAAAGTCAAGGCGCCATACGCATCTTTGAAAGGAAGGACGATTCTTATGTCAACGGGGTGGGAACAGAAGAGGCCGGCCATATGGTGATCGTCCCTTGGAATAGTGGTTGGTGGTTTAGGGTTTCAGGATCTATTCGAGTAGGATATGCTGTTGCGAATAATGTTAAGTAGTTGGACTACAATCATATAACTCTTGGCCGATTTATGATCAATCGATTTGTAAGCTCATTGGAGATTGGGATGATGATGAATGACGGCGTATATGGATTATAGGTTTCAGTCAACCGAATTTTGCCCGTAATCTGATCTGGCATTGTCGCTATCCCTTGTACGTCTTGGACTGTAAGTTCATAGACGTCTCCGGAAAAGGAGGCTAGTGTGCCGTTAGCTACTGTAGTTAAGTTTTCTTCAGGGCCAGATATAAAATTTGCTGCTGGAAGCTGATTAGCGTCTATTACTCAGTATAGTGTTGGCCTCATTTACTTACTTGCAGTTATCTGTGGTTCGATTGGAGGCAACATTCGACTGCCTGGGTCAACACCACCATAAACTTGCTTAGTCCCTTCACAGATCAGTTTTATTCTCTGTAGGTGACGGAGTGGAAGTTACCTTCAGCGTAATTTTTCGCAAGGGCCTGAAGGACGCCTATTTTGAAACCGGCCCACTCCTGTTTCAGTTTGGACGGCAAGTACACCCGAACGGCGTCCTTCATGTTGACAATGGCCGATGGACCAAGCCCAGCAGCGCAGAGAACAATTCCGTCATTGCCCGTAAGAGTTTTGACCCTCTGGAGAAACTCAAAATAATCTATCGATTGGGCAGTGCGTTTTGAATCGGATGGCGGCCCAGTAGCCAACAGCTGAAATGCTGCGTGAACACGCCTCGCTTCTCTTGGTTTCAAGCCCATCCGGTGTTCTGTTAACTCTGAAAACTCGCGGAGCCGGCGAACAGCAGAATCCACCGAAAACTGAGCTTGAGGCATGATTACTAAGCCCTCTCGCCTCTAGACCAACTGAAAAATGGTAAGCAAAATGAGTATAAAGTGAAGCAGAGTTGGGAAAAGTTGAAAACAGTTGGGAAAAACCGTTTTATTAATCTCGAGTAGATGATCACATGCGGCAAAAACTACAACAGGTTAGGCATCAGTGCGTTGTTCACTGGGCCAAGCGTAAAAGAGCTTTGGCGGCATGCCAAAGGTGCAGATTCCCTTGTCTGGGATTCCGATATGGGATCCTAGCTTTCAGCAACCACGCTTCTCTTGATAGAGATATCCTCCGCCAAACACCGAAGCAACCTTCGGCCAGTGGCTATAATTGGTTGGCATTTCAATCAAAAGCGGCATCCCAACCGTCCCAGGCATTTGCGCCCAGATATAGTGGTCTCTGATACGCAATTGTGACCCAACCCAAACTGCATGTGCTCCCCCAACCTTCGGTCAAATCGCACTCGTTCCTCGTCCGGTTAAAAGACCACGCTTCACCAATTCCCATCTTTCAAAATGGTTCATCATCAAATGATGCCCAGAATTGAGTGTCAAACGCGGATAGTGGCCAGAAAACGCGTTGCACCTGAAGACAAAGGTAATTTCCAGATCTTTTTACTGTATTCCAGACTGACTTGTTATAGGGAAACAAGTTAAGCGAGTTAAGAGAGAACCACAGAAAGAGCAGCCGAAGTCCTACCGCAGGAGTGTGCGGCTAAGCAGTAAAAACGCCTCTGCAACTGTATGTGCGCTTCTTCCGGCTGTATCACTTTGATATGATACTGATTCAACGGAGATATTACAGGACTCTCCGACCAGCATCCAGACCCGAGAACAGAATACAAAACTAAATCAGAAACGATCTTGTGAAGACCAAACACTCTCCTCTTCAAAACGACCACGATTGTCTTTACTGAGCTTAGCTATTGACCCCCTTGAGGGAGAGAAGCGACATATTACCAACTGGAAGAAGATTGACCTGACTAGATATTGGTGCAGGAATGACTGCTGGCCTAAAGAATATTTTAGAGCACAGCCTGGACAGATTGAAAGCATGAGCCACCTTCTTGCCAAAAAAAAGTCAACAGCTTCTCTTCGCCGCAAGAACTCAAATTCGAGTCTTGCTACAGGCTCTAACGCACCAACTGATCAAGAATCGAGAGATGGAAAGAGCGCCAAATACAGAAGCGCTACTTATGAGACCGTCCTTGCCACCAAAGGCAGCTTCATGGCTGAATCTGAACTTGAAGTAACGGAAAGAAGCAAGGAGATTTGCAAAATGCTACTTGACGAGAAACAGACGATTCCCGAAGGCACGATATTTCAGAATGACCGATTCCGGAAGGCTTGCCAAAAGCTACAGAGTAAAAATGAATCAAGAGTTATTCAAGATATATCTCGGTTGATTGTGCCTGCGGCGGAGACATTAGCTACGTGTGGCGCTAAGAATCTGGAGTGTTTGGTTGAAAGCGTCAATGAACCATGGGGTTCCTCTATTTCCTTCTGTGGACCACGTCCGCAGCCTGATTATGCGGTCGGGTTCGGCCGGTCTGCGTTCACAGAAAACGAGCTAAATAAGTTCGAGCCGTTCCTCGGCTACGACCCGGATACCTACAGCTCCTTCTTCCTGGCCACCTTCTACATGTACTTCCCCTTCTTGACCAGTGAGGTGAAAGGCACCGCCGCGCTCGACATCGCCGACCGGCAGAACGCACACAGCATGACCATTGCCGTGAGGGGTGTCATTGAGCTGTTTAAACTTGTAGGACGCGAAGATGAGGTCAATCGCGAAATCTTGGCTTTCTCGATCTCACACGACAACAGGACAGTGAGAATCTACGGCCATTATGCGGTCATTGAGGGAAGCAAGACTTCCTTCTACCGTCACCCTATCAGAACATTTGACTTTACGGAGCTGGACGGCAGAGAGAAGTGGACTGCTTACACATTTACGAGGAACGTTTATGACAAGTGGGCGCCGGATCATCTGAAAAGGATCCACTCGGCTATTGATGCGATCCCTCCTGGAGTAAATTTTGATGTTCCTCAGTCAGAACTTGGACTCTCTCAATCAAACACTCCATGCTTTTTGGAGGATGACGGCCAACTAAGTCAGACAAGCTTTATAGCCTCATCAGAAGCTACACCCAATACTTCCTTCACCCAACAGACGCATGTCTTGAAGCGGCCAAGGAGGCAGAAATAGTGTGTTGGTGTTGTGTTTGAGATAAGAATGAATTATTATCATTTCGATTGCATGTGCTATGTCAACTTGATCCAGAATATCTCCAGAATATCTTTATACGCCTTTCCGTAAGCACATTACCCATAAATATCATCCCATACTCTTCAAAGCCTGCGTCAGGCAAAGTAAGATCTTCAACTTCATAGAAATTTTGCAGCCCAATTTTCACCACCGGCAAAAAAAGAAATTCTCGTTTCATCTCAGCAGTCGACTTCTGCAGTGACTCTTGGCCAAGTAGGCCCATCAATTGGTTCCCCAGAGGGAACAGCGTTGGAGGGCGGGCTGCGCATATTGGCATTATTTTTGCATACGTTCCAGATAGCCTGAAGTAGCCAGCTTCTCTATCGGATATTTTAGCCGGTTTTGATTAAGCAGCTTCAACCGTGCGTCGGGCACATATATACCCAACGGGGATGACCTTTTTCGTTATTCACGCGTGACACGGGTACCCAGGGACCCATCGAGAGGATTCGATCAAGTGCAGTAGAAAAGGTACGCTTCATCAAGTTTCCCTTTTGTACAATCGGCTTGCTGCAGTAGATAATGAGATTTAGAATGGGTCGCGAACCCCCTTAGGCGAGCTGCAATTCGTGCACTTACTAAACAGTCCCAGAAGCCAAGAACAATCTCCTTATATATATCAGCATCTATTCCCAGTGAGCTATCTGGGCTTTACTGGTAGTGATAGCGGCGCGAAAGTTTGTGGTATTATTTTCAGGATTATTGGTATCAGTTAGCGACTAGAATAAATATTGAATATCACACTGACTTACTATGATGTCAAATCTGATATGTATGGTTCAGCAGGAGAAACAAAAATAAAATTTTGGAAGGGCATTGGGCGGTAAATCTTTCTGCCATTGTTTCTGGGTATCACGTGGCACTCCCAAACCCTGCTTTTAACCCCTCCCCCACTTTGTGACTCCGACATCACATAAAGTTAGCATATGTCATTGATTTCGCCATGCGGCGCAATGTGCCTTCCCCGTAGGTACACTATACCCCAAAAAGAAGTTCGGCGTGACCTTGCAACAGAGAACAAGGTTAGTGAGCGGGTTAGTCAACCGGGGGGCAGTTCGCTGTTTCGTCAGATACGACCAGTTGGCTCGCGTCTTCTACGTGCGGGTAAACGTTGATCCGTGTTATTTTGGGCGAGGTGGCTGGCATTATTTCTCGTTTCTCGTTCACTTCAGGATTATCGCCGCCCTATCGCTATGCCAGTCAATGCCTGGTACCCACTTCCGCTTTTTGACATAACTCTGTATCCCTCTCTAATGTCCGATAACAGTTCACCAGATTACGAGTCTCTCTACCGTAGAGCGGAAGCGGAACGAAGGCAGGCAGAAGAGTGAGAGGCACAGGAAGTAGAGTTGCGAAGGCAGGCGGAAGAATTGAGAAGGCAGGCAGAAGAACAAGAGGCACGGGAAGTAGAGTTGCGAAGGCAGGCAGAAGAGCGAGAGGCACGGGAAGTAGAGTTGCGAAGGCAGGCAGAAGAGTGAGAGGCAGAGGAAAAAGTGCGCAGCCAGCCGACAACACTCGGAGAGCTTATCAAAGGTTGTCATGATTCATTCTCCCAGCCTTTGCAGGTTGGAACGCCATCCCGCTCCACGAAGGAGAGTATTCCACCGCCCACTGGGAAATACTGCCCAACAAACCTTCATTTTTGGTCAAGTTGTCCAGTTCAACTGCAAGAAATTTACAATTCAGTTTCCACTTACCTCCAACCAGCTGGACAAGACGCACCTCAGCTATTCACATCTCTTCTTGTGCTAAATGAACTTGATCAGCGATATTCTAGCCGAAAACTACAAAGTGAAAAGGATCTGGAACACTACAAGCGAACCACTGTGAAAGATCATGTCCATGATATCATAGCCGAGCTATGCAAAATACCTGATGCCCGAGAGAGATTCCGGCTTGGAGATGGGATCCTGTTTGAAAATCATGAAAATCTTCTACAGACATCAGAGGAGTCAGATGTACAGCTGCTTGATGAATCCAGCACAAAACATCCCAAACCAGATTCATTCTGTATTCATCAAATCAATGATTCCACCAATACTTTGATTACAACAGTCGAATATAAGCCGCCACACAAGCTCTCAGTTGAAAATCTCCGAGCGGGTCTTCGATCGATGAAGCTCTGGGAAGAGATTGTTCAGTCAGACACAATCCCCAAGAGTGATGAGCTGAACAAGGATGAAAAGCTGAGATATAATGCGGAACAGCTGACTTGCTCAGTTTTGGTTCAGGAGTATCATGTCATGATCCAAGCTGGACTGGAGTACTCCTACATAACTAATGGATTTGCTATCGTTCTTCTTCGTGTTCCATACAACGACCCTAGTACGCTCTATTACTATCTCTGTGAACCAAACATGGATGTGATTTCAGAAAATCCTGGGGTCTTTTATCAGTCAAAGACAGCTATTGCCAGAATATTATGTCTCTGTCTGATGTCCTTTCTCTCAGATATCCGTGACCAGAAGTGGCGGAATGCTGCAAGATCCCAGCTCCATATATGGAAGACAAGTTTTGACTTTACACAGTCACAAATCCCCAATGATGAGCTGCAACAAACTCCTCCAGGATCGGAATATGCAAGCTCAGATTATATACCCTCTGAACATCTGCCATCGTCTCCATTACAGCCCGGCCATCGAGTTTCTTCCCGATCTCAAACCACCTGTGCACCAATGGATACCTCACCTTTGAGTGATCATATGGATTCTTCCGACTCCGAATCTAACCAAGCAGCGCACGGCCGGAAGCGGGGCTTCAGCCAAGTGATGTCCTCCCCGCCCAGCCAGCGTTCATCGGCGCGCCCAGCAGGTCCTAGGCCATCGAGCGGCCAGAGCCAACCCACGGCACGTTACTGTACGCAGCAGTGCTTATTGGGTTTGCAACAAGAAGGTGAATTGGACCATCAATGCCCTAATGTTTCTCTCCACCGGCGAGGCCAGAATGATGATCGACATTGTATCAATGCAAGGAAGCTTGTGCAAATACTGAATGAACAGCTCGATTGTGACCTTGATCATAACTGCACACCATTTGGGACTTGTGGATCGTATGGTGCACCCTTCAAGATCACTTGTGCTGCATATGGCTACACTCTTGTTGGAAAGGGGACAACATCCGGACTATGGAAAGTTGTCTCACGTGAAGCAGAAATATACCGGGTTCTTCAGAAAGCACAGGGTTCTGCTGTCCCTGTATTTCTGGGGACGATTGATTTGAAATTATTCCTTTTCCTCCATGGTGCTGGGGACATCCGCCATATGCTTCTCATGGGTTGGGCAGGGGAAAGTATAGAGAACGTCAAAGACAAGGAAGAGCTAAGTCGTGAGATTTCCAGGTCGAAGAAGGAAATCCGCATGCTGGGAGTGGTTCATAAAGACCTGCGGTCTGCCAACATGTTATGGAATGACGAGCTGCGCCAGGTCCTGATCATAGACTTTCACCGGTCCGACATAGACAGGCGCCCGATGAAAAAGCAGGTTGGACCCTTGAAAAGACGACTTCATCAGGTGGGCATGCCGAAACGACCCTGTAATAATAATGGCTTGACTGGGTGTACCTCTACAACAAGAGGGTCAGACGTCTAGAGTAGCGTAGCGTCTGAGAAGAATTGGAAACAGGCCTTTGAGAAATAGCTGTTGCCCTTCTGACTTGTTCTTCCTTTTGCCTGTGGATTGAACTGTTCAAATATATCTTATTTCACCAGTCAATTTCATATAATTTTAATCTTACACCTAAGAATAGAACTACACAGCTGGAAAGAACTAGAAGGTATATGTATGATAATCCAGTAACAGCAACTCGTACCATCAACCAGCAATAACAATTGGGTTTCAGCAAAAGTCACTTTGTCTTCCGTGTCGGATTTTTATCTCACGGACAGCCAAGGCAAGGAACCAACAATCTCAATAACTGGATGTCAATTCCCATTCATTTCATTCAATTATACTGATTCTCGACATACCTTGCTGAACAGTCAGTAATAAAGCTTACTATCATCTCGAGTATCGCGGACATTCGCTTAAATATTTCAATTATCTCGAGCACCTGGCTATGGATCGCCATGATTTCGCCTTGTTGAGACCTATTGTCGCCGTCCGAGGAGGTTGAGGGCTTCGCAAGCCATGGTTGGCATTCGGCATTGCGAATGCACAACCATCAGGGTTCTATGCTCAGTCCATTTGACATTGATGGTGGAAAATTGGATTGAAAAACTTAGACTTCGGTCGGGATATATAGCATAGGGGACAGATCCATCGTTTTTCTCATGTTCATTGAGCCATTGCAAAGATTATGAAACTTAGCGGCGCAGGTGAATATATAGACACAATCCTCTGAGACTTGGAGGAGGTTAATGAGGTGAGGGCGGATGGCTCAACAAACTTGGGGCACATAATGAGTTTACGACTTGGTGGCTGGGTGAACCCTTTGCCTGTATTTTAATTGTCTCAAGGCCATTCTTTATAGGCAATCAATGTATCTGCCGACAGCTAAACCCCAAAGAAGGACAGCTGGAAGGGATATTATGTAGAGCAAAAGCAAGCATGATAAGTTCCATAGAAACAGAACAGTTAGCACTGTAAACCGCGCCTACAGGAAGGAAGGACTTATATTGGAATGCTGCAAGCAGCAAATATTCTCTGTCTTCTGGGGAAGTGTGAACATTGCTATTCATTACACCTGCAGCAAATAAGTTTGAACAACTAAATATCTAGAGGCGGCCGGGAGCCTAAACACACATTATGAGAGAATGCTGACACAATAGTGAACTCCCACTGAGAAGTAGCCATATGGCCTATATCTATATCCATGAGCACACAAGGGAGTCGTTCGTTTCGATCGCAGGTGGACATGGTCGGGTAACAACCGTAGCAAGGTATGAACAAACACAATCATCAGCTCCCCCTCCTTCCATTCATTGTACTCATTCTTGATGTACCTTGGAGAATGATCAGCAATAAAGCTCACTGGACATGGAAATAATGCTTACCAGTACTCAATTGTTAACACGCTGCATCCCGATCTTCTGTTGCAGAGGCCTGTAGAATGGCATCATACTGTTCTTTACTCCCTGGTGTTATCATCTCGAGTATCGCAGTCATTTGCATCAATATTTTAATCATTTCTGGCACCTGGCTATGGATCTCCATGATTATATTATGTAGAGATGTATTGTCGCCGCCCTTGGCAATTGAGGAGGAGGTTGCTGTAGATCTTCACATGATGGCATTTGGCATTGTGGTGAGTGGATAGGGTTTCTGTTGAGATGTGAATTTCCAGTTGAAATGTAGAGCATAGTTATTATGATTTAAGAATAGAAATATTGATATTCAGAACTAGAGAGGTCTTTATACTTCTCTCTAGAATTAGACAAAACACGCGAATACAAATGATTCGAAGCAAAACAAAAGTGGGAGACAAAGAAATGAGGGCGACGAGCAAACAAAACACACACAATATAAATACTGTACCATGGGACATAGGCAAGATAGACCCTCGGCTGGAATGTGATAGGCGATGTCAATGGAGCTCGTGGGCGGGATTGAAATATGCTAAGCAAACAAAGATCAAACAAAGAGAACCAAAGAGAACCAAAGCAAACAGAGTAACAATCAAGACAGGAAAAGTACGGAACAAATCAGAGCCGAAATTGATATTGACATGTTACGCAGACGAAGCTTCTAACCAATTGATTTTACAATCTTGGGTCCACCGTCCCTGCGCGATCTCCTTTTCTGCTTGAAACACATGTGGCCCATTAGAGTGCGTGGCATGCCGTTCCGCACGCGGATCCGGGAATCCAGTATCCTTTTGACCAGCCACTCCTCCAGTGTTGCACCGGCGTGGCCAGCCAACATTTGAGGCCGACCCCCCGGATGTGGAGAGACACTGTCGTGGGGTGCGCCGGCAGTCCACTTCGCCCATGGCAAATGAGGGAGGGGTTTCTGCATGAAGATCAGCGGGAGAACGCGGAACAGTAATTGAAACTGATGGGAAGCAGACCTGGAACTTTTCGGGGAGTCAATGAGGCTCCACCATCATCCACAATCCTCACATCAGAAGGGGTATGGGTATATCATCTGCTGCATCTTCAAAGAGACTGAATTCTTCCCTGACCTTTACCAGCACCGGAACAGGGTCCAGCCAAGTTCATTGTTTTTTTTGTTGAAGATAGCATCTTTGGAATTTATTGTGCTTCTCACGGGGATGACAAAACTGGATCTCATACTTTTCAAAGCCTGCGTCAGGCAAAGTAAGATCTTCAACTTCATAGAAATTTTGCTGCCCAATTTTCACCACCGGCAAATCATGAAATTCTCACTTCATCCCAGCAGTTGACTTCTGCATTGACGAGAAGTGTCTATGCTCTTGGCCAAGTAGGCCCATCAATTGATTCCCCAGAGGGAACAGCGTTGAAGGGGGAGGCTCGCCATCCCAGATAGTGCCATACATAAATGGAGGCTCACCGCCCCAGAGAGCCTGAAGTAGCCTGACAGCTTCTGGTTTCCATTCTACCTGCACAAATGTTTGGGCAAGGCACATCACTACCGGAATAAGTATCTCCTCAGCATTGGCTGATTGAAACAGTTGCCATATGACCACAAAGAACCATCTGGTGGTCTCTCTGAAGAAATCAATAATGTTGACCATGAAAACCAGTTGTCTGAAGAGCCTTGTCAGAACTCTGCAGGCCTCTTTTTCACCTTTGCACCCGCTTCACAGTGCACTCAGCCTCACTCTCTCATTCACATGTTTATAGAGTTGTGTGTCACCTCATTCTTTCTGAGAGAGTGAGTCCATGATGTGATCTTTATGGGCTTTGAACACTGCATAAATGTGTTTGCAGGTCAGGATTGCTGAAAGGAGACTGGGGACATCCAGTACATGCTGAAGGATATGCAAGATGAGTTCAGCGGGGAGAAAGGGCGCCATTAGAGTAAATGACATCAAGATAAAGTGAACAAATTGAAGTCCAGTGTAGGTTGAGACACCAGACGAGAGAAACAGGACTGAAAATTAAAGAAAAGAAGAGACAAAGGAGGATGAAGTGTAACAGAGGGATGAGAGTCCTCTTATGAGCAGGTGAGACTTTGGTGCCAAGGCAGGAGGACCACTATCACTCCTCATTGATTCATAGCCCTTGTTCTCTTTGTGTTTCACCCCCTGTTCCTTTCCAGGTTCAGGCGCATTTAACTGCTTGAACTTTTCCCGGACACATTCCAAATATTAAGGCCATTTCACACTGTCATAAACTCCCGATCCGGTAACTTCACAAACACAGCCTAGCACGGGAAATAATAAGTATGCTAGTCGGTAACTACTGAAGAATCTGTGACTAAGATTGTCAGAATGTCAACAGGTGACAATCATAGGCTTCATGCCCCAGTCGCATAACTTACCATCAAGAGACAACTCAAGGCTTGCTAGGTTAGCTTCTTGAATATAAAAGAGAATTGATATCTTAGAGTATAAAGATATGTTAGTATTTTCTGTAAAAACACTTCTTTACAAAACTTGTATCTGTATCATTTTCTTTGTAACCGAAAATACATGAATTTCTAGAAGATTCGCTACGTATGCATCCATTGAGCCAAAAAGTCACTTTATAAAATGTCCAGCGAATTCAACTTTGAAATCAAACTAGCCAACTCAATCTTGAGCCACCAGCCAGCGATTCTCGGGCGTAATGGTTGACGGGATGACGGGTGTGCGGATGACGGGCGTATATAGTAAGATGCGGATGCAGAGTCGGGCACTTGCGCCTCCGGCGTCATGATGTACTGCTATAGATAGCAATTCCAATATTTCCACCATTGAATGTACTCGCCAAGTGTGAGGCAAAAAGAGGAAGTTGAATTCCTGTTTCTTGGATTGACCACTTCTCATGGCGCATCGTGGCCCTTCTTGTAATGCAAAAATAATGCCAATATACACAACCCGCCCTCCAACGCTGTTCCCTCTGGGGAACCAATTGATGGGCCTACTTGGCCAAGAGCATAGTCACTTCTCGTCACTGCAGAAGTCGACTGCTGAGATGGAGCGAGAATTTTGTTTTTTGCCGGTGGTGAAAATTGGGCAGCAAAATTTCTATGAAGTTGAAGATGTTGAAGTTTTTATGTTGCCTGATGCAAGCTTTGAAAAGTATGGGATCCAGTTTTGTTATCCCCGTGAAAAGCGCAATAAATTTGATCGCCTGATCGGTTGTGCTTTAATGCAGCGCGAATTATGTTTGAAAACACCGAGTCTAAAATTGTCTCTTTCGTGAATGTGAACACCGAAAGAAGCCATTGACATGTTTGGATCGTCGCAAAAAGAGTGTCAAAGTCGGGTAGACTCTTAAGAATCAGTGTGATGATCTCTGATGGCAGGCTTGTAATGCGGCAGTCCGTTCCATGAATGGATTCGGATAGAGAATCCATTGTTAGGAGGTTGAAAACAGAGAAGAACAGAGGAAGTGGGCGGGTCGTTGGTGCGGCTCTATATATCCCTCAGCGGTCTTGGCGGCTTGCCACTTGCACCCATAAATTGAGTGGCAGAAAAATCGCGCTAATTGTGCCTCGCCCCCAGACGACATCGATGGATAACC